TGCATAAAGCACCAGCCTTGATGCCAGTTGCTCACGGAAGCTAGAAATGGACCTGGTATCGAAGCCAATGGGTGCAGCCATCGCCGGTAGGTCCCAATCATAGCCATTGCTATAATGGGCAATGCAAAAACCAGCGTGTAGGACAGTAAAGAAGACATAATAGCTGTCGATATTTATTTTCAAATCGAGAAGGAAAGTCCGAGATAGTCATCGTGTGGCTGCATGACCTTTCTGCACGCATATTTATACAGGACTCTGCCACTGACCGCCAGATACAGGAGGGCCAGTCACCTTCAACGAGTCACCGTCTTTTCGTCGGGGTGGAGAATCCATGCAGTCGGGCGGAACAGCATACAAGATGGCTAGTCGTGGCGATATTTTCATGTTAGCGCCGATGAGGTCTGCCGATCATACTTTCGATCTCGTGTATGCGCGCAGCGAGCTGAAATGTTGCGCTTCCTGACCCACCGGACCCCGATAGCAAATAGGAAAGACATAAAATATGACCGGTGCGAATTGGCTCGCATTGATCCAGATCCACTGGGCACGGTGGTTCAGCTCGCCACAACATCAACCCTTCTCGATTATCACACAGGCCCCTTTTACTAGCAGTCTAAAGTTGTCTCAACTCCCTGAACGTTCACAACGATATTCCGATGTCTACATTCACAGTGGCTGCACTGGCATCCTGACCGCATACAGGCTGGGTCGGGCGGGTGTTTGCATAGAGAGTCGGTATCAGGACCGCTACATCAAGGATAGAAAGTCTGCCATGATCGTTCTCTTCCGACAGGTTCAAGCTCCCTGTAACCTGGACTACCTACAGAAGCCTACTTAGTAGGCCTCATCTTGCACCCACTCGTCGTCGACATTGTGGATGCTGTGCAGGGCAGTGGGCTCACGACTGGCAGCCATGCGGTGCAGGTAGTTGCCGAATACTAAGTTGGCATCGGTGGCGTCTTGACCACAAGGCCCGAATGCTAATTTCTCCACTTGGCCGACAGAGATGAGCCACGTAGCAAGCGCCTGCGCCCGATAAAAAAGGCCGGGATTCCCGCGCCTACATCGTGAGTATTCATTCAAGAGGCGTGCCAGACTGCGACCCGCTCGAAGAAATCGAAATCTTGGAACACCATATTCAACACTCTGGCTTGCTCTTCCCAGTCCTCGATGCCAACATCCCTAATCGCTCGCTGAAGTCGCTTTAGGTCGTCGGCGGTTGCGACAGCCTTGGTTCGTTGATTTGGTAAGACGATTTACCACGCCAAGGGTAAAGCGGAGCTCGATCGAGGACAATCTCCTTCAGTTGCCGACCAACTTCAGGTTCTTTGAGTATCGACAGTAATAACCGGAACGCTCGCTTCAATTCAATGGAGTGCCGTAGACGAAGCCGGGAATAGGCGCCTACCGCGGGCAAAGTACGAAGCCCACGCCAGGAGGTACATCCCACTGAACGAGGGGATCTGATTGTATTTAAGGTTGTCCAAGACCTAGTAGTTTTGGTCCAAAGTTCTGAATGCCACCGATGGATTGGCATGTTCATTGACAAGGATGAAACAATCAGAAGAAGGGGGAAAATGGGACGATAGATTTTGGCAACGACGAGTCCCTACGACCTACGATGCGGCTGCACGCCGCCCTGTTGGCAATGTAACATGTCGAATACAAACCCAGCATACGGTTGTTGAGTATCATATGAGAGAAGAAGTTGAACCAAGAGAAGGGCGTCGAGGGTGACTCTTCTCTCACGTAATGGTTTTAAGCCATGTAACCCTAATTTCATTTAATCGATGGACAGGGCCACGTATAATTATCCCCGTTAGCCGATAAGGCGATAACACGAAGGAAATTACTATCGAGGGTTACTTGAAGACTGAGATCGTCTCGTTGAGTCCATGGTCTTGGTATATACCTATGGCGCCATATGCCACGTCGCCGGAAGCTTTGTGAATGCAAACAAGCAATGATGGTAGCTTCGCCACGCAGTGACCATGCAATGGGCACGTAGCAGTAGATCGTTCAGATCAGCATACATAAGCGTAGTTGTAGCATAGGAGAGCCTTATCAGCTTGGACCTTCCGCAACTTTGACATCTAAGTCTCAGTACACTGGAAGTAAAATCTCGATTCTGGCATTGTGTCTAAGTTTTTGGTGAGCTTATACATCAGCCAAGTCGGTTGAACAACACCAGAGGTGGCAGGTAGAACTGACAACGACCTGCGAGGTCCTTGCCTTGATTCTGATAATCTAGTAAATTGCGATTCAAGTTTCGATGCTCCATAGTATCACAAGAATACCTTGACTACCGCTGACCCTCTATAGCCAAAGATCTTCAGGGCCAGCAATTGATATTTGGTAATACTCCGGGTTGGTGTAGGCTGTGGGCTGCAGTGAAGGGGTGAGAGAGTGTGTTTTTCGTATGGCGAGAAAGCACCTCCAAGAACAGACGTCCCATTCCATGATCATACCTGGAGAAGACTAACTTCATTGTGGACGATGCTCTCATTTTTTTAGCTGGATCGGGTAAATCAAGTCGGGCTCGGATCAGCCGAGCGTTAAAGCATCGGATGAGTACCCGAGGCTCGCGATCCACCTTGATGCGTGGCAGACTTGAACTACCGAAGCCGAAAGACGAGTGAACGGGCATACTAGGTCGTACGAATTAAATATGTCCCGGTATCCCCTTCGCTGGGTGTTCGTCTGAAATCTTCTCCCTTCTGTGCGAACCCCTGATACGTACTATTTGCCCTCATGTTGGATGTCATTGTGATTGGAGCTGGATTCAGCGGCCTTCAGGCAGCCTACTCCGCTCAAAAGGCTGGTCTCTCGGTTGCTGTTGTTGAAGCCAGGGATCGCGTTGGTGGAAAGATCTGGAGTGTGCCACTCGCTTCTGGCCGTGGGTACGCTGAGCTGGGCGGCGCATGGATCAACAACAGCCTCCAGCCTCGCGTTTGGAGCTATGTCGAAAGGTTTGGTCTGGAGGTGGTGACACAGCGGTTGGAAGGGAAGGCCGTCATGCAGGAAAGCCCAGACAGTCGACTGGAGTTTCCTTTTGGCGTTACACCCGATGTGAGTCACGATGGATCCCCGGTCCCGCCAATATCAATAAATGGCTCTGCGCTAACCAGTGGATACAGTGGTCTGAGGAGGAGAAAAAGAACTTAGAATATATCCGCGATCATATCCAAGCGGAGTCTTTAAAACCTGGCTTGCCAAGCGCACAGGACGATAGTGTCAGCTTGGATCAGTATGTCCGTAATCTCGGTGCCCTACCGAAGGTTGCCAGCATGGTGAATCTGTGGGCACGAGTCATGCACGGCTTAGAGTCAACAGAAGAATCAGCGGGCTGGTTTATCGACTACTGCCGTCGCAATAAGGGTCTTCTAGCTATCAGAGCGGATGATTCTACCGGCGGTCAATACATGAGATTTAAAGACGGTACAGCCCCACCCTGGTAGTCCAACGCAGTGATCTTGGTACTAACGAAAGTTGCAGGCGCACAGTCAATTGCCGAGGGGATTGCTCGCTTGATTGGGGCGGAGAATATTCATTTGGGATCACCGGTTGCTTCGATCAACCAGCACGGCGCACATGTAAGTGTCGTCACTCGCGATGGCAGGACGTTTAATGCCAGAAGATGTATATTGTCAATCCCCAGTACTATGTACAGGGAACTCAATATTACCCCTGCATTACCTAAGCCTGTTCAGGAGGTTACCGATGGGACTGTGCTCGGTGACTATAACAAGGCTATTGTTTGTTACGATCAACCATGGTGGCGTGGTGAAGGATTCAACGGGTATTTTGCGAGCTACACAGGTCCCGTTATATTGGCCAGAGACACCAGCGTTGATGAAAGAAACCACTACTCCTTGACATGCTTTATCAATGGGCAGCCTGGGCGTGACTGGAGCAAGCTGTACCCCCATGAGCGTCGCGCAGTGGTCCTAAAGCAGATAGCAAAGATCTACAAAGCTGATGCCAACTCGGAGGCCTTCCGACCAATTGACATCTTCGATCAGGTCTGGAAGCATGAGGAATTTAGCCGAGGCGCCTTAGCTCCTGTCACTGCGCTTGGGCACCTCACCAAGTATGCGTCCGTGTATGGGAAGCCAGTCGGCAATCTTCATTTCGTCGGGACGGAATATAGCACCGAATGGAAAGGATACATGGAGGGAGCGCTCTGCTCAGGAGAAAGGGGGGCTCATGAGGTTGTGGAAGCCATGCAGAAGGTACCGGCAAAACTGTGATGAATTGATTCGATCCGAGGTTTCGCTCAAATTATGACCTTATCTATATTAGCGCTGTATTTTAGGAGAGGAACAGAAATAACATCTAATCACTGCATGAACCTCTTCTGTGGAGTTCCTTGGCCCATATACTCGTCTGCACGTAGGTGTGATTTACAGTCGTCGTCGTCTGGTCTAGGCGGAAACCAACAAGGTTGAATATTGTAAGAACAGTCCTTTCAGGAGGCAAGTACCTCCGTCAAGTATGCAAATGAAGTAGTGTACTGTGAAACAATTGCAAGTTTGCAGTGCTTATTTATTCCTGGCTTCATCACTTTTTACAGGGAACAATGACTTAACCTGGAGGGTTTCCGTAACTCATCTTGGCACAGTTTCAGGAATATAAGGAGAGATATAAACAATACAGTTTGGGCTGATCCTGTTTCGTTTCTTCTCTTTTTCTCTCATACGAAGTTACTTTGCTCACGTAAACCAAGGTATAGGAAGGCACCGTTTGAAGAAAGGTGAATCCAAAGCTGAGGCAAAGACGAACCCAAGCTAGCCACAATATATCTCTAGCATTCGATTTGGTAGGAGGCCGGTGTAACACTCGGAGAAAACGGAATAACGCATCTTATCCCGCGGCTGTGGACACAAGAGATCTGTGGATATAATTGATTCTCTGTGTAGCCTGTCTATTTGTCTGCTGTAAAATACAAAAGAGGCTGCATTATCTATCGATATTGGCCCTGTCATAGCCTCAGGCACTTTCTAATCATCCACATCAATGAGCTCCTCGAGCATCGAATCCAAGAAATCCTTCTGCTCAGCCAAAAACCTCCTGATCTTAGGGATATCAAATGGGCGATTTGCTGCCTGGCGGCGTCGTTCCTCCTTCAGCATAATTCTAAGGCGCTCCTCGAGGAGTTCCAGCCTGTAGTCAGTATACTGACTGTACAGGGCATTCGGCTCACTGATCCCCCGTACACCAGTGAGCACAGTCTCATCTTTGACCATGGGTGATCTTGGTCGGAAGGAAGTGACCATACTAATCCGCTCACGGCCGCCGAGGGCTTTGAGCGCTTGATGCTCAATGTATCGCCCTTGCAGCACTACAGAGGTTCCCTGTTGTAACAGTCAGTACATAATCCTGACTTGTCTTGGATAGACGTGAGGGACATACCATTGCTGGACCCCGGACCTTCATGATGTGGCCATCGGGTCTCCGAAGCGCAGTCTCTCCGCCAACCATGCCAGTGCAGTCCGATAGCATCGTCACACACACGAATGGAAAGCTATCATAATGCCAGGCCACAGCAGATGTTCCGTCATCGCCATCCAGCCCCCTATCCCACGTAGCCGTAGTACCATCACCAAAAGAGATGTTGACATTGCCGATCTCGAAATCAATCGCAGGAATGAGATCCACACCGGCAACTGCAGAGACTTTCGCTAGAACCTCTGGACTATTCCACGCATGATATATAAATGGAGCTAGCCTGTGAAAACGCACAGTGATTAGCAATGTGACTGCAAATGGTAAAGCTGATTGTACGTACGCAGGACCCATGCCTCGAACCATGTTCTTGATAAAGGTTGAAGTGTACTGGCAGCTGTTGAGGGCCTCTTCACTGAAGATCTCCGCTCTCATCTGTCTGATAGCCTCCTCAGTAAAGAGTGAAAAGGGCTCCGATGCGGCATTCGGTGAGATCCCATGACCCTCAAGTCCGATCTCCTTCATGGTATAAATTCTTGTGGGGGGTTTGTAGTTCAGGTGAACCTTTGAGTCAAATGCCTCCTTTTTGACCTTCCGTGCTTCATCAATCATAGATTGAGGCAGCTGGTTGGTCGGACGTGTTGCCTTTTTTGTTGCTGGTCCAACCACTCTGGGTGGTGTCGTAGAGACATCGACTGCTACTGGAGCCATTGTGTAATCGAGAATACACGGAATGCTGCTGGACTCGGAACTCTATGAGTTGAATGTTTGTTCAATCTTGAATCTCTGGATAATTGTGATGTCCTGCACGATAGAAGTCAGGTATATATAACCATGGATGCTAATAGGATCTACCCCGCAAATGTAGTCGGCGGCAGTACTGAAGTTCTAGCCAGCTTCGGCTTTCCCGGTGAGGCTATTATGTTCTATGAGCTGCTTTCTGTATAGGAGACCGTCGGCCAAATCTGCCGATCTTACTGGCGAGCTTTTTTCCGGAGCCACCGTGTGCCAGCCGACGCCTCGTCGGTAACGGCTCCGATGGCATTCTGTCGACGTATGCTAGCTATCACCATGTCCGGATGTTAGTCAAAAGTACTGTGTTCTCATGGCTGGGCCAAGACACGGATGCTTGCTGACATCGTACATCTATCGATGTCTTTCGCGGTATGGTAGGGACATATCGCTGTGCCGTGCCTTCTCATGGTTTCATAGCGCTGTCGTGTGTTTACCTCAACAATGATGGCACATATTCATTATTAAACTTCTGTAGCTTACATCATTCGACTTCAAGGTCTAGGGCCATTGTGTGAATGAGATATCTCTAACAGTGTCTTCCTCCGTCTTGAGCGACATACGAATATGCACCCAATGGCCATACCAGTACGTGCATTTCCATCATCCAAACAGGCTAAGGCTCTGTATCTACGAGAAGAACTTGACCTTTCTGGAAAAGGACTTGTGCTGATGACTGAGCTGCCACATTTCTATCTTACACACTGTCTATGGAGTCCTAGATCTTTTTACTTCAATACCGCCTGCCTTGGGACATAGGGAGAAGTCCACATGTATAGCATTGAGAATAGACTCCTATCTACGCAGTGGTCTTCCATTGGTTCCAGACACCTATTAAACTACTCACGGTACCGGCCATGCCAACAATGCCATCGTCGAGTGCATTAACACCCAAACTCTTCCCCGGAACCGTCAAGTCGCATAGGTCCGAGATGAGCTGAATCCAAGCAGCGGATCGCTCCCTGTAATCAAACCAATTAGCACTCTGAACTGCATGCGACAGATGTGAAGATCCAACGTACTTGGCACGCATCTTATTATTGGATTCTCGCTCGCCCTCCTCGGGCTTCGTTCTCTGCTCAGTCTGCGAGTGCAGTAAGGTATAGATGCATGTCATGATGCTACAAACCAAACCCGCAGCCCAGAATTTATCCGCTAGGATATCTAGGCGCTCCGACGATGGCAACTTGTGGATCCCGATATCCTTGAGAGCAGTGATATTGTCGAAAACCAGATATCCACCAAAGCCGAGTTGACCCCCAATCGCCAAGAATTTTAGCACCGGTTCACTGTGGTTTTTCTCGCTCATGACACGGGCGAGGGTCTGGAGATTCTGTAGGAAGTTGCCAAGCCGTAAGATCTTGCGCGTGGTCCCAAGCTGCTTCCGGAGGACAATGTAGGAATCGATTGCGGACCTTTGGTGGTTTCTGCGGTACAGGTGCCAGATATAGAACCGTGAGAAGTATTGTGCTGTCCGTAGCAGCTTATCCCGGCCGACTGGGAGTTGGTAGAGGTTATTCGCATTATTTCTAGGACATGTAGAAAACCCAGAACGTTTTCACACAATAGGGGGAATCGGAGGAGATGCGGTACGTACCGGTCGTCGCGGCAAATCGTAGACAGTGCGCCAGCGCAGGGTGGCCGTTCGATGTATTTGCGACCATTATCTTAATCGTCGATCACAGTCGAGATTTGTGGCCCAAGTGTCCGCCACACGTAGCAACGATGGAATTAGCGATGTTGTGAAAATGTTGGAGGCCGGCGAGGAATAAGAAATGTCCAATGCTTCCAACAAGAATACTCCGTACTTCGCCGCACATCGCAATCTAGTTCGGGTGGATTAAATATCTCGCTGACGATCCCGAGGTTTAGAAAGAGAAGATCCTTCGGCGTTGATGGCGTTACACATCGCTAGCTACGGTCTACAGAAGGCACTGGCCTAGTAGATCGAGTCTACCGTACTTCATTTACTTTGATTCTCAGTCAAATCAGTTCACAAACATCAGGGCACAGTGGACGCTGGCGACTGAACTGCGGACGTGGTCGGCGCGTCCGAGTCAAACACCGGAAGGCCTTCCGAAAGGGACCCACTCCCTGCCAACGCACTTGTTCCCCTGAGCGTGTTCTCAACTAACTTGATGCTTGTAGACGGTCTGGAATGTCCTCTCATATACAGAGCAGATCTATCGTTACCCTGACATCGTACCTATCGAAATTTCTAGAAGCTGGCTGGAAGTTGGTCCGCAATCTTGTCGATTGTTGTGCTGACCTGTTGCGTGCCATATATATATAGTTTATCTGGGGAGAAATCTATAACGCTTCTCTTTTCTTTCCCTTCAGAGAACTTGCATTAACTAGTTATTTACACAGTGGCTGACTGGAGATGATCTAGTACTACCGGAATATTGCATTATTTTCTGTATCTATCACATATGGTTATTCAGTTGCCCTTCTGAAGTTTGTATACTGCGTAAGGGTTGGTTCTCCACAAGGCTTGAGAGAGCACGTGAGGCAGCGTTGCCCTGGAAGGGAAATTGGTAACGCACGAATGATGGAAGCCAATTCCATGTTTTTTTGGTGGCGCCCGACGCGAATTGACCATTCACGTGGGGCTGCTGAAAAGGGAAAAGTGTTCCCGTCGTGCGGGGTGTGCTTTTACTCTGATAATAATACCCCAAAATATGTGTGAACTGAGTGACGATGTTGTGCCGGCGACCCCAGAGCTCCTGGTCTGCCAGTTCCTCCCCCCGGTATCTGGATAGCAGGCATGCAAGAACAGAGCCATAAGCCGAGACGAACTGCAATTGCGTAAGGCAGTCCTGTCCCCGGATACTGGAAAGGAATGCCGTGTTACTGAGAAGTGTGCTTAGGTGTATCGCCTGCCGCCAGAGCAAGGTAAAATGCTCTGGCGATGAACCCTGCGCCAACTGTATCCGACGATCACTGACTTGTCAGTTTTCAGAAGCAAATAGCAAAGTGCTCGTGTCTGAGAGGTGTGTCATTTGCCAAGCCCCCGTCGAGTGGCCAAGACGTAACGGGACGATGGACTAGGTATCTTCGTGAGTTGCAGAAGCAAGCCTACAACTGGCAACGTGCTTCAGGAGTCAAACGCTCGTGGGATTCAGCGTTCAAGGTTGGGGATGGGGCCCACGAGGAGACCACGGTCCATGATGACCAGGTCGCCGCAGAAATTGTAGCCCCCCAATCCCAGGGATCAGCGGCATCACAGGGGAGCGAATTTACATGCAACATCTGGACGAGTCCCTTCACCTTACCCTCAACGGTCATTAAAGATCCACATATGGAACAGCGAAACTGGAGTTCGTCCGCCATCTAGGATTGATCGTATAGCTCAGGCTGACACAGGGAACAGTTTGGCTGGCCCCGACCTCGGCTTGGTCGCTCACAGCTCGACTGATAGTCATGATGACCGAGAAACTCGACCTGAACTCAACACACAATATTCCGAAGTTCTATCTGGATGGAGATATCTATCCGTTCGCGTGGGACCGCGCCACGGCCACCGAACCGTTTGATACCAGTGGTTTGCCGTCGGCTGATTATGCCTTATACCTGTTCAATATTGTCAAGTTCCACCTGGGCCAGATGTACCGATTCTTTGACGAAAATACCTTTGTTTCTCAGATGCATGAATTCTACGCGAGCGATGCGGTTGAAAAGGCCAGCAAACCTCGTTTCTGGTTCCTACAATTTCTGCTGGTCCTTGCACTTGGAAATGCGTTCGTGTCGCGGCCTCGAAGCCACTCCAGCCCACCGGGCGCCAAGTTCTTTGCGCGTGCGATGTCCATCATGCCCAATCATACCTCTACAGGAAAAGATAGTCTGTTGGCCATCGAAGCCTTGGCCCTGGCCGGGTTGTATCTGTATGCAATAGACCACAGAGAGGCGGCTCACGTATACGTAAGCATGGGTAATCAGCTGGATGCTCCTCGCTAACACAGGCGCTGTGCTTTGTAGGTCGGTCATGCGGTACGCATAGCACACATGGAGGGTTTACACACCCAGCTTCCGGAAACAGAACTAGGTACTGCAACGGTAGCCCGATGCCGAAACCTGTGGTGGACCTTGTACATCATGGACAGACATGTCTCCTCGTCGCTGGGACTCCCGATGACGACCAAGGACAGCGACATCAGCACTCTGATCAACACCCCGAGCATGGATTTCCATGACATCACATTTAGCCTACAAGTGAGGCTGTCGCAAATGCTGTCCTTTATTTTAAGCAGTAAGCTCCGACCTCCATCGGTTTAGAATCCGTTTTGTCTCTAACGTGCCTGCGTATAGCCATCTATAAGACGGAGAAGACCCAGCTCGGAAGGTTTCTAGAGATTACGAGAAACATTTTGCACGCCATGGCTAAACATGCTGAGGAGATTGAGAAGATGATGCAGATTAGCTTCCAGAGCTCCATGGATAACGTGCCTCAGGAGATGCGTCATATAATCTTACTATACCATGAGGTACTTGAAGGGTGTCACATCATAAGCGTTCGAGCACTACCCAAATATGCTAATCAATCTTCTCCCAGTGCGTGATCGTCGCCACCAGGCCTCTGCTCTTGTCCGTTCTGAAGGAACGGCTAGAGAAGTTAGGGCGTGCAGAGGAAGACTGGCAAAAGTTTTTAGCCCTCCCCAAATCCTTGATATCCATTGGGATCAAGTCTGCCGAAAAGACGCTTCAGATATTGTCGGACGAAAATGGCCACCTCGGTACGTTAAATGATCTGGACCCCTTACCGGGGTGACGCTATTTGACTTACACGATACCAGAAACTTTCCTTCCATTTGATCTCGAATTTACATACGCAGCTGCTCTACATCTGACCATGGCGAACACGCTCTACCCACCCGGCACCAACGATGACACGTATAGTAAGTCTGCACATTCAATCCTCGATGAAATGATTCTGTGTGGGAATAAGGTGGCAGAGGTTCGAAAGGATGAGTTGCGCTGCATCGAGGGGCTATTCCAAGAGTTCGCCAAACGAGTACAGCAGGAAGGCCTGCAAGTTCTCACTTTGTCTGGTCGGGGACTTGTGGAGGCTGGACCAGACGAAAATCCTAGTCAAGAATGCCGGGGACAAACGCCCGCGACAGAGCCTCCAACCTTCACAGAGTCATCGGCCCAGTCACCATCCGTAAATCAGTCTCTGACGGCCAGCGTCGATCCCCTCGACAATGTGATCGGCATATCATCCTATGAATTCCTCTCTATTGTGGATCAGATCGGCGGCTCTGAAATGCCCTACGTCTTGAACGTAGGCCCGGACTGGATGGACGGCGGTGCTGTCACATATCCGTTTGGGTGAATTGTACAAGGGAGTTCCAGTCATTCAAGCAATAGAATAATAGAAGAAATTGCTGAGCGTGATCGCAGTGTCTCGGGAAACTCACCATTTTCTCTGGCGCCTTATATTTGTACTGTTACTCCGATTAATATACAACCTTCGCCTCTCGCCCAGACGGATGGAATTCATCTCTGATACCTTCAATACAAACGACGTTGGGATATCCTGACGTTCTGTAGCTTATTCTAATACCTAGGGTGTGCAGACGCTGATGGGTCGACTACTTGAGCAGCCCTGGTCTCGTCGCTTCAGGGTGCTCCTGCTGCAGGATGGACCTCAGCAGCTCTATCATTTGGTTGAAGCCCCAATTGATTGCAAGGTCCTTGGTGTTTATCATTTGCAGACCCCCGAAGCCAGTCAGTCTAAGCAACATAGACTACTTGATATTGGGCCCATGTCGTCTGGTCTCGTTTAGAACTTGAAAGACTCTTCTTGTTCCCACAAGTAGATTAGTCCACAGTAAGGGGATGCGAGCCTTGGCTGCCTACAGCCCTAAGCTACGAAGATTTCATACATAATTTTGGCCAGCATGTACGCTGTATCATATTTTGGCAACCAAGGAAATAGTTGATCTATTTCGTTTTCTAGAAGGCTTCCGATATCTATCTATCGTCTCTAAGTCTAATGATTCATAGCACGTATTGCTCTAACGGGTAGAGTGGTTCGCTACACAGCAACGGCGTCCTTGCGCTCAGAGCTCAGCGCTGCTTCTATGATAAACGGACTTCGCGCACGGATTTGTTTCCCCCAGATGAACATCAAAGTTGGCGCCAGGGAGAGTACGAGGGATATGAATGCTAAAGTAGTACTGGCCCATTGAAATCCCAGATTCGTGTACATACTCATAGTCGCGAGGGGAAGCAAAGCCGAGAACAGGTTCTCCCCTGTGGCGACAGCACCCATCGCACTGCCCGCATACTTGCTGTACGAGTCGACAACATAGTCCGAAACCCCTGCCACGACTATCACACTGCCGGCACCCACCATCGCCAGGCCAATCGCCGGGGCTATCCAGGGGATATGGGCGAAGGAGGTCCAGGCATAAGTAAACATGCCACCCGAAATTCCAAGGACGCCTCCAATCACCGCCAGATACAATCTGGCCTCCGGAATAGGGACTCCAGGGCATTCAGCGTTGCGCGAGGCAGAACCAAAATAGAGCTTGGCAGAGAATAGGTTGGCTAGCCAGCCTAAGGTCTCCCCGATCACAATGGCCGCTTGGACATATCCCGCCTGGGTGTTGGTCCAGCCGTACAGCTCCACAAACACCTGCTCCGCCGACTGCGTGAACAGGAACAGTGTGCCCACAGTAAACGCGGACCATAGTGTGGAAACCAGGACCACCGACTCTGTACATACCAGCACCAGGGGTCTTGTAGAACTTTGAACGAAGCGACTGAGCACCGAACCCGTCTGCCCCTCCATCTCTACCAAAGTGAACGCTGGCTTTCCTTGTTTCCGCAATGCTTGGGCACGACGAGCGAGTATAACGGCACCACGCGACTCTTGAAACAGGAAGTAATACACCGGAAGTAGCGCACCAAACCAAATCAGCTGGAGGTAGCCAATCCACCTCCATGTCAACCCTTCAAAGATCGCGGCGCCAATAACGGGGCCCGTACTGCTACCTGCGAGGTAGGAGAAGATGTAGAGACTCACGGGGATGGACCGGGACTTTTCCGTTTCCCAGATATTTCCAATAACCGAGGCAGATGTATTAGCCAGCACCGCGACACTGCTGCCAGCAAAGAAGCGGGTGACGATGAGGGTTGCGAAGTTCTGTGCCACGGCCTGGGGGACGAGAAAGCACATAAATACTACATATGCTGACAGGAATATCGGTCGGACGCCATGATCCTCCATCAAGGGAAGAATAAACAGTGAGGAAAAACATCCTCCCAGCGCCCACGATGTCACAGGCCAGTACGAGTGGGGAAAGGTGTGCTCTGAGACGTGAAATTCCTCAGTAATTGCAGCGTGCGCTGTTGTGATAATCGTGCCATTCATCATTGTGATATATGTGGTAAATACGGCGAGCAGGGTCAATGTCCATTTCTGTGCAAGGGACCAGTTGTACGGATTTGCCGAGTCATGTTCTCCATCCCAGGTCACGGTGATAGGGTTTTCATCAGATATCTGTTCGTCTTCTTTGCAGCCGTCAGTGTTTGCCAGGCTTTCGATGATGGCAATGCTTACCTGAGTCGGTGATCTCTCTGGTTCGAGAACGCCCTAGGGCGTCCTGGAAGAGGGATATCGGGGACATAGCTCACCGGGTCCCGGCTGTTGAGATTGATTGGGAATAGCCTTTTCGAGGGAGGATCGAGTTTGTCGCAACGGGGGTGGAATGATTCGATAGTAGCTCCTGCGCGGTGGCATGTGTAGTGTCCCATCGCCATCCCCACCCCTCTTTATATGTAAAGTTGTCAGTGAGGATAGGCAGGAACCCTTACTAAAGGTCGATCATCTCTTCTGCGGAGTGTTAAGCGACTCCCCTTCTCCAGATATTGACCATTCCTGGACAGGTGGATCGCTTCTCGGGAGGCATCGGGCCCCCGGATCTTCATGGACACCTCTCCCAAGCACATAAACCGCGTCGGGGATGCCGTCTGGACTACGCCAAGGATCTAGGCTATCACGTCGGACATCCAAGCTATTGCCCAAACTCAAACCACTCTAGATCAAGACTCCTAGCTATGGCTTTCATGCAGTTGGTATCCGCGATTATGAAATCCCGAATCCGAGGATCGGGTTCAGGTCCCGAGCGCTGCGGATCCCTTGAGACGCTATAGACGCGATTATGGAATGTGTGCACAGACCAGTGGATCCGAATACGGCAAGAAAGATGAGAGTCCCTGGATTCGTTATCTGGGTACATAGCCTATGGTCGCAATACAGCTTTTGACTATGGTTCATTCGATTGTCGCGCATCGAGGTTCCCGAGAACCCTGAATGAAAAGAACGATTACCTTGCTTATTCTGAGCAAAGCCAATCTTTTCCTGGAGCTCCAGCTGCCGGTCGCTACAACCCTGAGCGGCTCCCCAGGTCTGCTCGTTGCTGGAGATTTAGGCGGACTGTCCACAAGCTTATTCCAAGTTCTGGGCTCTCCAGCCTTGTCGTCTCTTCTACGTGTCGTTGCACTCTTCTCAAACCGTCCGGCGTCTACAAGTATTCATCAGAGCTATTATCGTACATTCGGAATGGGCCATTTCCTTGAATTGCGTTCGAGTGTCCACGGATACGATATTTACAAAAGCTCTCTCGAACTCACGGGGGCGTTGAGGTAGCAATTTTGCATAGTGTCACCATAGCCATTGTCAGACTGTTTGCCCAGGCAGGTAGCTATCGGGAACAGTCATTGCCTAAGCCCGACAAGGCATCGGCCGTGTATAAAAGACGCCCCCGGGTACTTGGTTCGGGAGAGAATTCCGAGATCTCCATAAGATCGGCTCGGCTCGGGTGCCCGGGCAAGCGTAAGGGATGTGAAGCAAATAGCGGACAGGGTATACTCGCGAAAAAAAAAAAAAAAGAACACACATGGGAAAGGGTGCAGGTTCGTATCCCTGATGAAGGTTCAACCTTTCCTCCTGACGACGCCTTCATTCTGTCTACCCTTCCACTGGAACGACTATCTCAGACATGACTGTGGCTGGCCTGACCGATTGGCCATTAAAGAATTACTTTATTGCACGACCGGATTATAGGACAATAGCTCTGGCCTGTGCGTTCTAAGTCCTTCTTCTGACACTCTCTATGTCGTCTAGGGCAATCGCCTTCGAGCACAACTGAAGTGGAATCATATTAATGGAAAAAAGCTTCCAAATGACTCATCTAGATTGATGGACTCTTAGTGGAAGAAACGTTCAAAGAAGGCAGCATGCTAATGTGCCTTCCAATGACTTGGTATCACTTCTTGTTGCTAAGCTAACATATAGCACAAATTTCGAATCTATCACACACGCGACCGATGCCGCCCATGCTTCCGAAAGCCCGTACAGAAGGCACAGAACGAGCACGAACGAAGAACAGGAATCTCATGATCAGGAGCAACATTCCCCTGTGAGCTGACCTGGGTGGAGGAAGAGAGATCGGCCCCTTGTGAATTGGAGGATAACGGCTCATCGCTCGATAGGGATACCCTCGCGATTTGGATCAATTTCCCCAGGATGGCATATTCCAATTTGAACTTGATGCTGTATGCAACCGGTTTAAACATCACCTGCAGAGCGTAGAAATTTGCATACTCAATCCCTACCACGGCCACGTCGAGGATTAAAATGATGATATTGATGCCCAAAAGTTGCGTGAGAATTGTATAGTGCAGGCGATCTGGTCGCAGCCGTAGCAATTTTGATGTTTCCCATATGTATATGGAGGAGATGACGCATTCTTGCACAGCGAAGCCAATGAGCTGGATGTGTTCCATTACTTTGTATCCATTCGCAAACCGATCTCGGTTCGGCTCGAGTGCCCCATACAAGAGAACAGTGGTAGGGATGTGAAATACAATGGCATCAACCAGAATCATCACCAGAAGGAACCGGAGAAGCTTGCGTGCCTGCACGACCAGATGTAGACGCGACCAGAGGATAAGCGAATGTCCTGTTACCATACAGACCCAGCTGACAATAATCAATGTGACGGAAACATAAGCGCTGACTCCAAGGGGATAAATAAAAAAGATGAAGCCTAGGCCATGCGGAATGAGGCTACAGGACGCGATGAACAAGCTCCAGAAGTACCAGCCCCTGTATCGCTTGAACGTCGTTAGACACAGTGCTATTAGCTCAATCGAGTTGTACCAGACTATGGCTGCAAAGCTTGCGATGACGTATTTTTGGGTCTGGTCAAGTTCCTGGTTTGTCAACTGGGTGACGGGACTCTCGGCGGGAGACATGGGAAGGACATGGTTATAAAAGCAAAAAAATCCTTCTAGAATTGAGCATTTGAGCGAAGGTAGGAGAGGTGGGTGAAAAGGGACGCAGTGTTGTGGCGAGGATGTCAGGATATCGATCGCCGGCGTTGATGGACGATGTCCGAGGAGAAACATAGATTTATATAAATCTAGGGGCATACGCACTATTAGTCATATTTCCAGAACGCTAGACTAACCACCGGATCGTTCAATATACTAAGATAGTAATATTAGCGGCAGAGGTCTCTACTGACGACGGCCAACGTTTTGTTGTTCAAGTTAAGGTTCATCCCTCGTCCATTGCTCGTGTTCTGTGGACTCAATCCAATGCTTCTGACGTCAAGACCACAATTCAGTTTGGTTATGTGTTGCCCTATCCACTGTTTGGGTGCCATCCTTCAAGACCAGAACCATGGATGGTGGTGCCAAGGCCCATGTACGCGGCGTATCCACGCTGAATAACCCTACAGCAACCACAGATCACTGGAGGAGCAACTCCAATGAGCAACAGCGCTCGGGCAGTAAGTTGACTTATTCAAATGCCATGTCTTGGCTATTTGAAGAGCTGGTCGAAGAGTACTTCTCTTACGATGCAATGACACTTACCCATACTCACGACACCGACAGGCTCGCCGTACCTTATATTCTTTTACCATGTAGCATTCATTGGTTCTTGTCTACACAGACAGCAGCCATGCGCTGGAAACAGCACCAAAAAATGGTTGGGAGGTCCGGAAAGTATATGTATTGAAGGGCTGTATAGGGAAGAAACTAAGAACCAGTGACTTTGACAGATTTCCCAGTCCCAATCCATATATTTTACACCTGTCCTCCACCTGATAAGGTATCCAACCTGGCCGTACAGTCGCGGAGGTCACCATATTCAAGTGTCCTTTCCCTAAACCTCTTTTAACTGCAGCTTGCCCTCCTCCGCTCCGGCCCCGTCGCCAAAACAACACAAGAACCAAGACGTTCACACTGCTATTATCAGCACACATGGTATGATATCAAACCACGAGAGATATCTTACCGGGTGAAACGGAGAACAGATGAATTCGCGTTCCTTGTTCTCACCTGGCAAGGTGACATGGCAAACGCCGTTGCGATCTCGCTTAGTGCAGGTCTTTCATTTGTTGCTTAGTTTCACGACCGGCTATTATTCTGCAGGGTGGACACTTACACCATGGATCCAAGTTAGATCGTCATCAGCGTCCCCGTGGTCGGTACCCGGTTGGGGTGACATGGAGCTGAACTGATTACCGGGGGAAGAGACCCTTGCTGAAGTACCACCCGAACCTGCGGGCGGAGATCTCTTGACCCACGCTGTCACCTCATCGTCACTGCCTGGAGCGGTAGTGGCGGTGGCTGGATCGACATCTTCGTTTTCTCCATGTCCATGGCCATCGGTACAGTTATGACCCAAGTTGTGGGACATCAGGGTTGCACCGGCAGCTGCCGGCATGGCATCGTCGGTCCGATACATCGCCTCGGTAGTGGTAGGGCCTTGCATGCTGTCGACGGGAATCGCGCCTGCAGGACCCACGGAGAGCAAGGTGACGGCGAGGAGGGAGATGACAGTGAACTTCATGTTGAAATACTGGGGGTTGGATATGTGACTAGCAGAGAAATGAAATGAGTGGTAAAACGATAGACTTGTGTATATATACTGTTGGGGAAATTTAAGATAGCAGAATCGCGAACCGGCCGCAGACTACTAGGCGAATTGAATGATTGAATGAATGAATGAGTTGGATTGGGAAGGAGAGTGCTTGGTGCAGGACAAAGGGATCATTTATATATTTAGAATGCCAAGAAACGACATATAGTAGATACCAGACTTTTGCCAGACTTTGCCATCCATTGTTGCACTTCGTCGGACAGGAGGCGTGTATGTTAGGACAGCATACACTTTTGGGGCAACGGTCTCCAAAGGCTTAGAGTGCCCTGTACAACACTATTAAAGCTGGGACCTGAGCCGTTCGATAGCCGTAGTACAGGGATGGCTGAACCCCTTGGCAAGCTTGTCCTCAGCTCATGTTTTTGCTATCTTCTGTGGATACATTTCCGCAAGAGGTCTGCATCCGAAGTCCTTAGTTATGTGTGGGTAGTAAGGGCACCGATGAAACAGCATACATGAATCTGGTGATACGACAGGTCACAGAGTGTCTGAGCTGAGCATCTTCTATACGATGGCAATGTCAGGGTCCGAGATTTAAGTTAGCCTGCGTAACTGTCTATTCCAAGGAGTTGCTTCAAATGGTCTAGAAGCCGTGTGGTTGTGCAAAGTACCGTTGGCGGTAGATCATCGTGATATTGAACACTGAGATCAATGGGCCTCATTCAATGAATATAACGTATAAGAGGTCTTAGCGGCGTGGTGGACTATCTGTTTCATAGGGCGCTCTTGACACAGGCATGTATGAGCATGCAACATCACATCTATATCGCTACCCGCTGAGGCATCCTTGAAGTAATGTTCAGCCAATCTTGCTCCATTCAGCCGGACGGGTCTACACTCATTAACGGTCAACCTGTAGGTGAAGCCCAATTGAGGCCTAGAGCTCTGCGCGCCATGTAAGGCGAATCTAACGGAATGCCGCATTAAATATCCCCTCTGGTGCATTACCCACCGCACTTTTCCGAGATTAATCATCTACATCGTAGCATCTCTCATTATCATTCCAATGGCTAGAATACATTCTATAGCTAGGATGTGCTACCCTAATTGCGGCCTTTCATGAGCTCCTGGGTTCGGTTTCGGTGAAGCTGTACCACTTATCATGCGAACTTTGATGAGATCGACAGGCTGGCCATTATCTGTGGAACAGCGTTGAATACCGGTGTCTTTCAGATGTCTCTCTCGGTGCTTAGTATTGTATGATGGGAGAAGACGGAGAGCTATATCTTGATGGGGCTCAAAGGGAAAGTGTGCCCCAGTACGACTCCTTGACGTGGCCGATTACCTCTTGCCAAGACGCTGGTAACAAAGAATTAAAGACTGTGGCCAGGCTGAAGCTCAACCTAGACTCTTTCGAAGACCTAACCTTTTCGACTTGCATTCGGACGATAGGTCTTTGCGCCTTGGCTGTCACAACTTTAGTTTCCATGGGTTTTATTGTATGTATTCAGGCCATTTACGCCCAATGCCAGGCCTTGCCGTAACGATCGAACGGCGGATTCTGACTGCATTCATAACTCTCCTGCTAAAGGCCGCTTCAATAACGACCCGCTTCTTTAGCAAGCAAGAGTAGGCGTCATTGCTCCTGCACGCATAATTCCATGAACTTCGAAAGAGGCGCTGGGGAGATTGTAGGCACTCCTATATTGGGAAGTCGTTGAAGAAATACCATTTGGTCAGGGGAGCGGTCTGGAAGTCTTGGTAGATGTACAAGCCTTGCTAGCATACGTCAACTATTCTATCTAAACAAGGTTCTACATTGCCCCGGAAAATCATGAGTAATGTTGTTGCAAGCACAACGATCCACTACAGGAAAAGGATGCACCTGTGCCCCTAGATTTGATCGCAAAGGGGGTCGCGGATGCGATTTTGGTGTAAGCTTGCGGAAGAGTAAGGCAGGAAATGGGATTGAGTTCATTCTGTCCATTCTCTAGACTACGCTTCGTAGACACCTACCGACTATTCCTGCCCTGGACCTTACATAAATAGGATAGTAATATTGACCAGCATCGATGTACATCAGTCTGTGGGCAACAGCCTTTGTGTGTCTTCAACTCGTCCACCACATCCTTTGACCCAGTTATGCGGATTTAACCTTGCGAAAATGGAACACTTCTCTGGCCATGGTGAGGTCTATCTCAATTTCTTTCCCAATGCCTACCCAGATCTTCGGCAGCTCCTCGAGTTTACCAGCTTCTCTCATTCTGATCCCCTGCTCCGTCTCTGGCCACACATCCCATCCCCCAATTACCTGGCCTGTTGCCGTATCCACAGGAGTGTCACAGAATTGGAGTGTTAAATTCTCATCTCCTAAGGGCAACAAGCTCACATCCACGTCCAACTGCTTTAGCCATTTATGCTCGACGAATTGGAACATACGAGGCAGAAAGGTCGCTGCGTAAGTGTCGTCTGCCGCATTGTTCATCTCCTGGGAAGGATAGCCCGTGATCATCAGGAGGAGGTCTGGATTCTCGACACTTTGAAAGAAGGCGTGCATAGGTGGGAGTTCGGGATTGGACTCAGGGTTAGTGTAGGAGGAGCAGTGGCTCAGAATCTGGGCGAGGAGGTCGTGGAAGTCACTCGAGTCCATGTAATCTTTGGTCTTGGCTGTGCTGAGCCATAGCTTGGTGATGGGTGACATTTTTGCTTCTGCCGGCTTCAAACGAGCAACGATGTATGTCTGGTCTTGAGAGATTGTGTGTCCCAACCAGAGGTAGGAAACATGTACAAGAGATTGAGTCGAGTTCAGCCTCGTCTAGACGTGGGGCACGAAGGTGGGGGACCTGTTGGACAGGGATTTAAATGTCTTAACCCTATATCAAGAAAGACATATAGCCTGACGACCATTGGCACACGTACCACACGTTCCACAAACCAGCCACGGTATTCTCTAGTGCATAAAGTGCTCCTACTCCAGAATTATAGTCTCAAATATAGGCTTCGCCTCGACCCATCGTTTGAGAAACACGTATCCGAGGCCCAATCTGCGGGCAACGTTGCTCTGTTCGTCCCGTTCAATCAGCAACACATTGAGTACGATCACGCATTGCCGCGCGGCCAAGAAGCTGGCGTCCCATGGAGGTGGGATACTATTGCCCGTACTGTCATAGAAAAGAAGGCCTTCAATAAACTCATCGATGCTTACCCCCATCGAACGTGCAAAGTCATACAGGTCGTATCTAAAATTGAGGCCATCAATATCGCCTATAGACAAAGCTACAAATTCTCCATCGCCAGCTGGTTCGCAGTACGACGGCACGACAACCACTCCCGCAACCATGCCGTCCTCCGACATGATGCGAAGCTTACCTGTTTTATGCAACGAGCCTTCTGTACCTACTAAAGGGAAAGACGCGGTCTGGCCGTGGAGAAGAATCCGGCCTTCAGCAGAGGCAGCGGTCGCACGGTCCCGCTCAGAGAATATAGTATCAATATCATAGTTCCCCAGCGTGCTGTGCCAGTAGGCGTCATAGGTTGGCCATCGCTCAGCCAGTGTGGCAGCTCTTGACCAATGCAAACCAGACTCAAAAAGACGCGAGCATTTGATGCTTCCAACCTCCCAGGCTACATCTATGGTAAAAAATAGGTTCTGCCTCCGGGCAATTTGGTGGTCCTTGACCAAGCCTCGACTCTCTCTGGATATGCCTCTTTCCCCCCAATCCTCATCTGGAGCTGGCGTACAGAGGATGATATTGGTCCCAGAATCCGTAGATCCTTCTGGCGCCGCCCAGACAGCCAGTGCAGCATTTGCTTTCAAAAAGCCAATGGGGCCAGAGTTGGAAGCCCAGGACCAGGAAGGAAACATAGTGCGCATCCTAGAAGCGGTTCTATCCCCTGCTATATGCCATACAGCCGCTTTGTCAATCTGCTCGCGAGGATGTCCGTAGTAGGTATTGTCGCCGTATGTGGACCGCAGAACAGCTGAAAAGGCACGCAGCGCATCCTCCGGATATGATAAATCTCTCGCGTTATACTTTCCGAGCATTGTCCAGAATTTGTCCTTGGAAGGAAGTGTATACTCTGCCGGAACGCCAGAGATCACATCTGATTTAATTTGGGCTCTCTTTATACCGACAGCATTCCGTTGCACAAAATGCAAGCCATAGTCGGTAAAGAAAAGAAAGCAATCAGAAAAGATAGCTTCTTGGAGTGTCCAGCCGCGAGTGGCCCATTTACTGAACTTGATACAGTCATGGATGTTCGGCATCAGGCTGGTGAACATGAAGCCAGCTATTTCGACGACGTTTTGGACCTGTGGTCGACTCCTAGTCACGCCAGGCAACCCGCAATTTGAATTCTCGCCTGTCAATGCCACCAGGGAACATACAGCGTGTTGATAGATATCATGCATCTGATTAATCTGTTCTTGCAAGACACACGAGTTCTTCTGGCTGATACAGAGCTGGTCAACCCAGAGATATTGCACTCCAAGCTTCTGACAGGCAATTATGGCGTCGCCAATGGTGGCAGGAAGGGCATCTGGGAGTGTGATATGTTCGGCCTTCACTCCCCCAAAGACATAACTGAGGGCCAGGTATCTACACCCTGCCGGTGCGTCCACCACGCGATTCTGAAGGACATCAATGACCTTTAGATTGCGTGGCAAGCCGTGGGGAGAAGGACATTGTTCGATCCATACCCGAGCATTTGTCCAATCGATATATCGGCTTGGGCCTCCGAGCGTATCTGGCGGCGGCCGATGAAGGTTGAGCAATTTCCTCCACGTGGATGATGCGCGGGTGGTTCCTACATTGAAAATTGAGATGGAGACAGAACAAAGCAGGACATCATCACTGTTGCACAAGCGTAACCCCAAAGAACGGGAGGAAAGTTTGAGGATTGGCTTAAGTTCCCAAAGATCATTGTCACTCAATCTCGCCACATTTCTGTGGGTAGAGATCGCGTCAAAAAGAAACCTGCAGAAGGAACATGACCCCCTGGCGTGCAACTCCTCTGGACGTCTGAGTTTAATCTCTACAATGCAGGGCGTTTTGAACTCGAAACACAAGCCCAAGTGTGGCAGCCTCAGATGCCGGCAGAACTGACAAAGATCAGGATATGTGGCTCTGTCTGCCTCGAAGCATCTCTCGCACGGGGAGTGGAATAGTTCATCGTGATATACACTTTCCCCTACTGCAGTGCCGGCATGCGAGCTGCATTCAATAGACGTGCAAAAGGCGCAGGTGGCGCTGTCTCGGCCGTCAGGGGCCATGGTGCATGTCGCACGACTTGCTTGTGGTCGCCATCGGGCTGATATAGGACAGCCTTTCTCCTCCTTCTATGAAGCTTTATTGGCTCAGATACCATGATCTGCGCCTTGGCACGCATACATAGTGCATCGACGAGGCTTCAACCTCTTCGCCCCACCATCATGTTGTAATGGCTAGAGAAAAAGCTTTATAGATATGAGGGGAATTTGCTGCTTTCACAGAATATTATTTGTACCATTCAGTAGTGATCTGATTGCATATGGTAACTCTTAAACATATCTCTTGCTATGCGATCGAGTAATATCAGGCCAATTAAGCCATTCTCCAGCCCAATTACAGCTTGTTAGAGACATATATACATTTCTGACACCAATGCCCTGGGCTTATCCCGCGCGATGCTACTTCTCAACCATAATCAAATCCAAGTTGCCGATGTTCCTGCAGTTAGATTGCCAGGAGCTGTCGATATGACTGTCCAGACAACGATAGCTCAATCTCCCTACAGAGCAGCCTTCTCAAGATTTCCCTGGAAAGTTGAGTCCTTGAATGGGACAGTGGCCTTGCCAAACTCGGCACTTTCCAATCCCTGCCTTGCGGCCTCGGGAAGAGACTCCCAGGCAATGAGTGGTAGATCGCGTCCAAGCGTATTAGTGAACTGCAGCTCATGGTTGGTTGGGAAGCTGGTAAAGTATTCCACCTTAGGTCTATCGCCCTCTCGCGGTGGGTTGTCCGTCTTCTTGTAGCTGCCGTGACCCGATGCTGCACCTCCCAGCAAGGTTGGGTTATCGTTGGCTGGGTTGTTGACCCAGATAACAACATTCTCCCAGTCGTGGCGGTGCGCACCCGCTGATACTCCACTGTTGGGCATGTCCTTTGGCATATACCATGCGTACATGATACCGTAGCGCCCATTGTGCCAGCCACCGCGCACGTAGGTCTGCGCTTTGCTTTGGTCACGGCAACCTCCCGTGGCGCTACCAGTGTCTTGAAGCCCTCCACTATACAACAGAGGTTAGTATATTCGCAACTTTTATCTTATTCACAGTCCACCAGGGCCTTGTGTCTTGTGATGTAATATTGGCTTACCTCACATCACCGTTGTCGGCGACGGCCGGGTAGGATTGACAGCCGTGTGCAATGTGTAGATACGGCTCGAACTTCTTATACGTGTTTCCGGTGGGGGTATCAGGGACGGTCTCGGGGAATGGGGTGATAGAGTCATGATTCACGACTTTGCGCTTCTCCATGGGGCTTCCCTGCACTGCGAGGGCAGCAGCCAGAATGGCCAGAAGGCTTTTGGGGACCATCTTGATAGCTTTGAAGGAGGATATATTCTTGACTGCGTGTAGACAGTGATTTGATTGCCTGAGTCTGTAGATTATGGGAAGATGGGAGAATCCTGGCTTATATACCTTTCCACAGACACCCGCCTCTTTTATAGAACGCAATTGCCGACGTCTGCCAAGATTCATCATGCAAGGAAGGATCATGCCTAAGATATTAAATTGCTACGGGCGAGAGCATGTCCGAATGCCAGCCGCACCGAAGCATCCGCCATGATTACATGCCTACTAGCAGATCCTCCCGCAGTTTAGCTTGATCACGACATTCAATCACGATCAGTCTCAGTGTCTGGGTCTGGGCTTTAGGGCAACCACTAACCAACTTTCGCAAGGAAGGCAGATTAAACCCCGAAACCCTTCCAACCAAGTGTTGTACTCGGCCTAATGTACTGAAGTCCGGATTTAGACATCTGCCTATTCCAAGTAACACACCTCGTCATCTAGCAGCTGCCAGCAGTGACTTGAAACCAGGCAACTGCATGAGCATATGCAGGTACTGCCGATCACTTTCGGAACCGGAAAGAAGCCAAGGCCGGTTCATCCGTATCAATCGCTGTCTCCACTCTGGTATAGGTTTAGATTGAGAAACTATACCTCATGAGACGTGGGGACTAGAATTGAGTTCAAACGCTGAACGTATCTAACCGTGCATTGCACCACTACTATATGTGGTGATTGAGTTGCTTAGAAAGGTCACGACCCTAGACCCTCTAGGGATTATTAGCTGTTATTCAGTCCTAGGTAGATTAATCCGTCATCAATATGACTCTCTAGATACCTTTGCTGCCGCGTAGTAACCTGTATACGCCGACGAACCTTGTGCATGGGTCAAAACAATGCGAGAGAAAGTCAGTAACGATATGCCGGAGCTCTCATCCATAGTGAGAATAGCAACCTCTGTTCAACGCATATCCCTTCAGGGCTTATCTTCGGCGAAACGTCGGCAGAAGGTGTACTCTGATTGCCATGGCGTGGGACCCTGTCCATCCACTCGTTGATCCTTCGTGTGTGGGAAACCTGTGAAATCTATATGCAATGTCTGAGTGGGCCTACGGTGACTGGGGCTTGTAACCTGAAGGATCTTCTCCTGTTTTGGAGTAATCTTCAACCTTACCCGAACAGCCGTACCTACCGGATGTGCAGAAGGATATCCGGTAGCAACCGGGACTTAGTTCCGAAGGATGTGCTATCGAGTTCATGTCGAGCTACTATGAGGCTCAGTTTATGCTTTTTATGTTCAATTATGAATGTGGGATGATCACACTGCCCCACAGCTCTTGCGTGGTTGAGTCCATCGCCAGCAGCATTACCCAGCGTCATACTGGTCAGAGGACATACTACCACTAGCGATGAAGGCAGTCTTCTTCTTCTATCATGAAGTTCATACCACTATATCCTCCAGGACCAGCATTCCGTCCGCTGTCGCAGTTTAGTCTGGGTACATATCACAAGAAGGCACCCACGGCTCAGGGTAAATACCGACACATCCAGACCCTCATCACCAGAGACCCATCCTATCCCTTATTCACTATCAACACCCCGATACTCGAAGAACTGGGCAAACTCCGTATCGTTAATCAAGTCCTGAGCCAGCTCTTTCTCATACATTAGCGCAAACATATTACCCTCGTCAGAATCTGGGTTCGCATCGAGTTTGGGAGGGTACACCAGGTGCACGCCGACGGTGACACCCGGCCCCTGCTGTAAGTGACGATGGCAAAGCGGGCGGGCGAACCCGAAGTCCGCATTATTCACTTGAGCGTCGCGGTGGTCCGTTGTGATGATGGACATTGGTGGCTTCGAGTTAATGCGGATGTTGAGGTTCGTCTTGTCCTTGATGTGCGAGATCGCAGTCAGCGCAGCATCCAGGTTCTCCTGGGTTTGAGTACTGGTAATCTTGCGAATATATGCCGCAAGCTCCCAGAGGGGCTTGTCGGAAATCACGTCCCCGTGAGTGAGCGGCGGGAAAGGCGCCTGGTCCGATAGTGCAGCCCAGAGAACATTGTGCTGGAGTTGCGGATGGACAGGGGGGTTCATCATTCGGCGACGCATATCCACGGCCTCACACCAGAACATAGGGGTTTCGAGCGGTATTCCAAAGACCGGCTGACGGAGGCGGGTTGTGGTCCGCCATATAAAGGCGGTGAAAGCGTCGTATGTTGAGATCCATGTTCCATCCTGCGGTGTCGCAAGCCGCTTTAGCTCAGCAGCCTTGCTCCTGGGAAGGTGGAAGAGCAAGCATTGTCCAGGCTTCTGATCCGGGTGCTGCTGCGGCGGAGGGGGTCCGTCAACGAGCTGCTCCACGGGCGGATCCGGCTTGGAAACGATGGAAACGTCATTGCAGACTGGGTCCCACGTCGGGAACGGCGTCTGATGCTGCACGGCGTAGCAGTTGTCAGCAAGCTGCTGCACAAATCCCCGCCAGCCCATGACATCGTTCGCATAATGGTGCATGTGGGAGATCAGAACAAATCCTCCACAGACAAAGTTGAGTAAGAAGGCCGAGGTGACCGGAGAACAGTCCGGATGCGCCTCTGGCTTCTCGCCGTATGTCATCGGCTCGATGCTCCAATGGTTGAAATCACCCAGTGTCATCCCAGCAAAACTCGAATTTTCCATGTCATCCAAGGAGGGGAACCGATCCGCATCGTTCACAGCGTCCAACCACTGTACAACAAACTGCACCGTGCTCTCCTTTCGTTTCACAAAGGAATGACCCCCATCGGAGTCTTTTTCGATGGTGCCACAAAGGTGGCCGACTTGGCCCAGAGTCCGCTCGAGACCCTCCTTGAGTACTGCAGCGGCCTTGGGCTTACTCCCATCCTCCAAGCGAAAGTAGATCGCGAAGTGGGTGTAGCAAAGGCCTGTCAGGTAATCAAGCGTCGAGATTTTGTACCGCTCCTCCTGCGGGCTGGTCTCCCAGCCGTATGGGTGCAAGTAGTGTATTTCCCGATGGACCATTTTGTGAGACGTAGAACGGTGACTTCGAAGAAGGATCGATGTATTCCAGAGAGGAACAGGATGTCTCCAACCAACGCTCATCTTATGGCCCGCCTTGAAATGCGGGGCTCTCAACCTGCTGCGCCTCACCAGATACAATATATCTGCGGCAAAATACCTTGGCAGTCGACACGAGGGCGATATCCAATAGCACCGAGGAAATCAGCGTCCACCTGTTGGCGCCTGCTCACTGTGAAAATGTACCTGCAGGAGAGACAGGAACGTCAGATCACGCAATCAGTGGAAGTCCTAGCAATTGCTGCGACCGAACAATTGCCACGCACGTTAGACTGAATAGAATCAGGTACGATGAGTAGCGTCATGTATTGGGCATCCGATTCCTCTGCGAGCCTGTGTTAGCCTCTAACAGGTACCGAATGATCAACATTCAGGACTGGGTTCGACCTATATACATTGACAAAGCTTCTTCTATATACATAGTTGTCGACATGTACATATGCCCCTTACATCGGAGATATCATAGAAACGGAGAAAGATGGCGATCTACTTCCGAAGCTCCATCGTATGGTCCGCTCGTAGCATTCAGTTGATGCGACTGCTAGAAGGGACCTAGACATCCACTTAGCCAGTGATCAAGCCAAACGTTCCCTTTCCGGGCGTAAGCCGAAATCCCCATGTCGCCCCTGCAAACTTGGGCGTCTCAGACATTTTGACCTCAACCTTCTCCGCCGCGGGAGGCAGCGATGCAGCGACTGCTTTCGTGTTTCCCTTGGGTTCGACCCATGTGTCCCGGACGGGACGAACGTCAAATCGCACCAGGATCATGGCAACCAGCGCCAGGATCTCGCCGGATGCGAAATGGCGCCCTGGGCAGATATGTGGGGATGAACCGAAAGACATGAAGCCAGACGCCTTGGATCGCTTTTCCACCGGATCGATCTTGCTGAACCGCTCTGGATCATATGTATCGGCGTCCGAGCCCCAGACGGAAGGATGCTTGTTAATCACTGCCGCAGGCATCAGAATAATGGACCCGGCCTTGACGAGCAGGCGATCATCAAGTAAGGTATCCCTTTGAATAACACGCAGCTGCCCGGAATTTGAACGAGTACGGAGCGTCTCTTGAAACGTTGAGACGAGGATCGGACACTTCTCACGGATCTCTGCTAGGTCCAGGTTGTGAACGCCTGCGGAGTCAATCGACAGGGCCCCGGTTTGGATCTCCTCTCGGATCTTATGAAGGAGTTCCGGGCGAGAGAAGATATCAAACAGGACCCAGAAGCAGGTCGGAACGGTATTGGACAGAATGCCCAAACCTGTGAACGCTTCCAAGCGCGCAATGTCCTCGAGAGTTGCCCCCGCCTCGTGCTGAACTTTCCATCGAGTGTACGCCAGCTGCGAAGAATCCAGATGCCCATCCACTTGGTAGTATTGGACGAAAGCTTGGGTCAGTTGCTCTCTGCCTTTCCACGGTTTCCGTGCGGAGATCCAGGGAAGGGTGTTCATCATGAGCAGACTTAGATTCGACTCAATCGCCCTATCGACTGGTTAATTCCCAGCGATACCGTGGAGAACACCAGTACTCACCAGAAAGCTTGTCGGTTGCTCTCGGACCGGTAAGGATTCAATGGGCCATAAATGGCATCTGTACTGGCGACCGTAACGGCATGGCAGCACCACTCGTAGAGATCCACCACCGTGTCTGGCTGCGATGCTAGCTGATTAATTATGGTATTGAGGGCCGTGATCATCTTTCCGTTCATTTGATCCAGTCCGCCGCCTAAGAGAGCGGGGTGCATGGAATCCGCGGTTCGCTGCCCCAGTCCCTGACCTCCAGACTCTTTGTCGCGAAGAAGCTGCATCCCGCGACCGTGGACACCGGCCCCATTCTCGGCGACATTGTCGAACAGAGGACCAAATGACATCGCGTTGCGGCTCCGTCGTACCGCGGAGACCAGCTCCGGCGATGCAATGATGTAGACCTTCGCATAGAGCATGTCCATCGTGAAGGCGGGGAGACGGTTTTTGCGGCTGTCGCAGTCATTAATTATACTATTTCTCCGGTTGAAAAAAAAAATGGGAGTAACACACCTCGTCGTCGCAAAGTACTCGAGGCCATAGTACAGAAATAACAACAGATGGCCGACGAGCGGGATTGCGCTGGAGACCAAAGGTGGTTCACGGGGATCCAGTTTCCTTCGCTGGATGAAGAGTAACGTCGAAGCCAGAAGGCCCACCAGGAGGGTGAAGCCTACGATAGAGGAGATGTCCGACATTCTGCAGAGTGGATGTTGAACATGCTTCGGGTTGAATGGTGAACATTGGAACCTTTATTGATTCGCGTTGTGATGGAAGTTTGGTTGACATCGGCCCATTGGGTTTAGCGTGGGGCTATACCGCAGGAGCCTTAGCGTGGGCCACGGAAGATCAATGTTCCTTTTCCGTCGGGTATCGTTCGTCACATGTTTTTTTGTTTGTCTTGTCTTCTTGTATGTATGGATGGATGTCGTCTGGCAGTAGACACGCCGCTGACCAAGCACTATATCAACCACTCTTCCGACTCCATCGCATCATATGTCTGGTCTATTTCCAATGCCTTGAATGCAGCCGTCAGTGCCGGCAAAGCTTGATTTGGATGCATTTCGCCTCCTTGCGGTATAGGTCTTGGCCTAGAGACAGTGCTACGTAGCGCTACCGAACGCAGTCGATTTGCTTCAGTCCGAATACTTCTTTCAAGTTTCGTCACACTCCCCTACTACAGACTGTCTCACAAAATCCAAGATTTATAGAGTCTTCTATGCCCCACTGGCCGTTTTCTTGTGCTTGTATGATCTATATCCACAATGGATGCTGATCCAGTGGGTCTCTATACACAGTCCGTGCGTGCGATCTGCATGGGTCACCAGGAAGAATGATTCATTCCTGTCAACAACCAGGATGCAGGGAAACGACCCGAGATATAAGTGAGATTTAAGAATTGAGTACCAGTCGCTGTAGTACGGTCACAAGCGACGTTGTGGGTATCTTATGCCTCATTTATGGGGACTGTTTACCGATCCCCAGTTGAGTGCTATCCCGATATATATAATGCATTGTGACCGACTGAACCTACGCCAGATGTTCTCCCAGTTCAAATTAACACAAGCCCAACCTAAGAACACGGATACCTCTATAATGTCTCCCTAAATACTATGAAAATATATTGAAAGCTACACTTGACACTTGGATGAGATCCATGAGAATAAATAAGTTCTCCTCGATATCGCAAATCATAGACGCCGACAAGAATGTGAACATCATATAGTAGACCAATAGGTATATATGTGGCGCTATTATATGACCAATAACGTTAACATCGTAACATCTTGCCATGGACTCCAATGTGCAACGAAGCAGCGTACAGTACAACCTGGTGGAGACTTAAGCCAAAGCCGAGGTACTTCCGAGATTCGAACGCCTGGCCAGAAGGAGAGCAAAAAGTAGGGTAGGATGCAGCACGTGGGTAGATTTGGTCATAGCACGACCTTAATTAATTTGAATTTTTTTTTTCGGAGATTTGTCTCAATTTATTTCGTGCCCTGACTTGTGGTACGATGAATTGGAGATTGAAATTGGAGTCTATGAGATCTAGAATACGGGGGATATTCGTTTGAGTGGTTGCAATAGAATTGTCCCGCCCAGGGAGAGTGAGAGAGAACAAAAAATCTTGTAGTCTGCCACCACAAGGGGCCTACTTGATCTGGGGAAATCTAGGGTATACATAGACTTGGACTGGAAGGCGTGTCTCAATACCAAGCACGCGGACAGGAGGCCAAAGCGTCCCACGATCTCAGATCTCTTGGGATTGAAACGGATGACTCCATCCGAAGGAAGTAGGGTAATTTCCGGCCCCACATGGAAGACTTTGCACCAGCACAACCCCGGCGAATAGGATTGAAAAATGAGCCCTGGTTCAGCTCAAGAATGAGGCGTGAGGTGTACGAGTTTGCTGCTGTCGAGAGGGACTCGAGAAATCCAATTGCTTCTCCTACCTTGGCCTGGCTGGTAAGAGTATGGGTTCCGTCAAGTCAGGATGAACGAGGGCCACTCCCGGCAACTTGGCAAAATCTTCGCGGTTGAAGGATGAAGAGACGAATTCACGGCCAAAAGGATGCCGGTATTAGCCTTCGGCATTGCCGTGAATGCCTCCCCAAAGCCTAGGCCCAAGCTTCGGAAACGCAGGATTGATTCAAACGGCCAACGGTAGCGAGCAGCCGGCTTCCATGATTGACTCAATCAGCTTCCCATCTTTGAGCCACGGACTCCACTCGCCACATGGTCTGGAAGCTGATGAGGTGGAACCAGGTGAGAACTTTCCGATCGTGGGTCATGTCCCAAGAGACGGAAGTGTTGCATACGAACAATTTTTTAGCAACCCAGTCAGACTTTAAGACAACCCCAATTCCACTTGCCATTCTCTTCCTAGGCACCACCTGTGTTGATGAACCCCCCCAGGGACAATGACTTCCTAGAACCCTAGGTATTCGGCAGTTGTTTACCTTTCGGGCGCTCTGGATATTGAAGCAACTGTGTGTAGCAGCCGTCGGTTAAATCCACCATGGCAGAAGATCGAAGCTTAGAGGTGCGAGCAGTTGCGGCGGTCTTCCTCGCATTGGCTACAGTGGCTACGGCTCTCCGATGCTATGTACGCCTGGCGATTGTGAAGGCGTTCGGCTGGGATGATGCCATCATGCTATTGGCGTTGGTGCGTCTGGTCCCCGTAGTTGAACAGTTGGACAGGAGGTTCAAAATGTCTTTCTAACCTTTGTCTATCTGGAACAGGGATTCTTTGGCATGTTTTCCGGGTGCATGATCGGAGGAAGCTTATACGGGACCGGAAGGCACCTCACGGAACTTACGAATGATCAGAGAACAACCGCCATGGAGGTAAGCTTCTTACCTTGAGAGGTATTCTATGGTGCTAACGCAGTCAGTAGTACTGGTTCTTATGCGACGTTGCCTACTGCCTCTCGTCTATCCTGTGCAAGATCTCCGTCGGCATATTCCTCCTGCGTGTCACCGTGCACAAAGTTCATCGCATGGTGGTTTATGCGGTAACCACGTTGGCGGTGGTATTTGGGTTGATGTTTTTGATCCTCCTTCTCGCCCAGTGTAAACCGGTGAAGTTTTTCTGGATGCGATTATCCACGGAAAACCCAGTTTCCGGGTCCTGCATCAACATGACTGTAATCATCGTGGCTCTGTATATCTTCAGCGCGGTGTCCTTTATCTTTGACCTGACTGTGGGGGTTCTGCCCGTCTTCGTCGTGCGCAATTTGCAGATGCGTCGCGATCTAAAGTATGCCGTCGCCGGTCTTCTCGGCATGGCTTGCATGTATGTCACCACAAGGTCCTCGACAGTCCACCACCAGAATCTTCTAACACGTCTGCTTTAGTGCTTCCGTCGCGGTTCTGGTCCGGATGGCATATGTCGAGACACTTCGGAACCCAGATTTCCTATGTGAGACTTCCTTCAATCTGCCTTGCCGTGCCTTGTCGCACGGCTGAAGCAATCTGACAAGAACACTCACTGACATGTATTATCCAGACGCCACGGTTGGTATCGCCGTGTGGTCCAACATTGAGACCGGCCTGGGAATCTTTGCCGGTAGTCTGGCAACCCTCCGCCCTCTACTACGAATGATCCGCCCGGGAACTGGTCGATCATATAATAAAAATACCCCCTCAACTCCTGGATCACGTACGTGGCACAACTCATCGTTCCAGCGGAGCAACGCCCTGCCGTTGTCTTCTCTCACGACGGAAGAAGAGCGACAGCATAGGCTGAAAGGAAATGTGCGTGCCGGTACACCCATCGAGACTGGACCGGGGATGTCGTCGTCGAGTGTTGCAACTGAAGATGATATATCAGATCACGAATTGATCCTACCCAAGGATTCAGCAGACTACCAGTATCAGATCAACGTGCGGCGTGACTTTCACATCACGAGCAGCGAAAGCCCTGTTTGAGATGGGCATGCCACACATGCTATGAACCCATTAGATACAAATAATCATGACCTCAATAAAATGCAAACAATTCTGGCAGTTATGCACTCACGCAACAAAGGTGCTCGTGGTAACCATATCGTGCTCACACACCATGATCTAGAGGAGATTTCTAGGGATGCCTGTCTGTGTCCGTCTCCAACGACATCACCACCGGCGCTTTATTCAGACCAGACAGAACAAAGCGACCGTCTGCGCTCATCGCCGGCCCGATTCCATAAAGATGCCTGGGCTACGCGTCTGGCCCATGGTGGCATGGGTATTGCCGCCAACCACGTGTATATACAGCGAGGAGTTTCCTCGGAAATACCTAAGTAATCAATAGAGGAACTCACATCATATGTTCGTTGTTCAACGATCCAATTCCATTTCGCTTCTAGGCCTTATTGTGAGACTAGAGATAATATTCACACGGACAAGAACTGTAGGAAATGGGAGAAGACGCTGCGTTGTTATCCTACCATTCGAGGATCATCGAAGCGTCTATGGACCGGATAAAAGGCATGAAGTCCCTGTGTTTTTGAGGACGGTATATTTATAAGTATACCAACAAGCCTATGGAGCTCTAACTAGCATCACTTGGTCGATCTGGAAACCAGTGAATTACTCCACAACCATGGAAGAAGACGCCCGGGCGAGTGCAGACCGAAAAAGATAACAATAACAAGGAGCATCAGTATCCACAAGGGAGCAGATCTTCTTTCCTTCCGACTCCACTGCTGCCATCCGGGCCCACTGCGCGAAGGAACTGGGAGAAAGCTGATTGTGGGACTATCAGCGATGGATTTTGAAGCTAGATCTGCTGGTAGAGCCCTCATATGGGGAACTATATATCGTGCAAAAAGGGATTTCACGATACCGTCTCGTGCATGGAGCCGAACTAGGAATCGAGAATCTTTGTAGATCTTGTTGACACGGCTAAAGCGCTCAGACTGGAATTCACGAAGAAGTTGCTCCAGCGCTGGCCGTGAGAGCTTCTTGTATCCATTCCTCGAGAGCCTATCGTACAGCAGGTTGGTTAAGACTGCGGCGTCTTCGATGGCAGTATTCGCTCCTTGTCCGATGTTTGGCGTCATCTGCTATAATGTTATTCGGAGCTCGCCAATTTGACCAGGGTTGTTGCTCTTACCTTGTGCATACTGTCCCCAATACAAACAATACGGTCCGCATGCCAGGTGCTAAAAATATTCTCCTCTAATGCTGTCATTGACATAACTTCCCGATTCTCCCAGACCTGGCCGAAAGTGGCCCCATTCGTTAGTGAGAAGTGAGCGACTTTCTCACATGTACGTACAGCGTCGGTGCTAGAAAACCGCACTGTGTCCGGGTAGGTGTAGGTGTCATCTAACCTCTTGATCACGAACCAGAACACCCGTCCACATTTCCCCTGGATGGTGATAATGGTCAAGCGGTGATGAAATGCATTCACTTGGTCTCCGGCATCTAGCCCTGGAACGGGCGAGGAGATGCCGAAGACACAGGCGTACTCGACCTTCATGCCTTTTATAGAGTGAAGTAGTCAGTGATTGAGCGTCATGAAGCTATCCAGGGTATACAGCACAGTATTACTGACTTCTCCTTTCCCGCTTCGACACCCGCCCAGGCTCCAGCGCGTCTGCCAATTTCCACATCTCAGAGCGGATGACGCTATGGACACCATCAGCACCCACCACTAGGTCCCCAATATACTCCTGTCCGGAGCTTGTGACAACTTCAATGTGGCTATCTAGCCGTCGGATATGCGTTACCCGGCAATTTGTATGAATATTTGACTGCTCCGGGTACGATGTGTGCAGAATCTCAAGAAATTTCTGTCGATCTAAAAATGCAATGGGATATCCGAATCTGAATTTCACTCGAGATACCTTGTCAGCGAGTCCTATGATTCAAAAGTGCTCGGCCACATCTATTTGTGTATCACTGACCTTTCATTGACAATCTTAGGATAATTGATACAGAAAGAAAACCCGCCAGGGTATGTGATAGTAGCCATGCTGAGAGGATGGGTCATCTTCTCCACAGCATCAAAGAGCCCCAATTGATCAAGTATACGTGCCCCATTGGGGATGATACCAATTGAGGCCCCCGCCTGTGGCGAGAGATCTGGACTTTTTTCGAGGACAACATGGTTTATTCCTGCCTGTTCGAGACAGTGGGCCAGGGTGAGTCCAGCGACAGATCCTCCAACAATAACCACTCTGAAATGATCTTTATCACACATAACGGCAGGTACCTGTAGGTATTAGCGCAGAAATAAATGGTTTTCGAGGCTAGAGAATACAGAATACACTAAGCCCAAGCTGTGTGGGACAGCGAACAACAAGAGGGTAGACAGCCGACAAGGAGCTAACCAAGCCGTGACTTAGTGGCTATCTGTACCTCACAGGGGATACAATGTATGCGATATGTAACACGATGGTTCCAAGTCAAACACAAGTTGCAAAGTTCAAACTATCGTTTTTGTGGATCTTTTGGTGGGACCGACGGTAAAATGACAGCCAAACCACTTACCACTTATGTGGTGTATCTCAGCCCCCACGGTCCTCAGCCAACAAAAGGACTCTTACATTCGTCTAGAGATAGCTATTGCAAACCAGGCTACCGGAGAATCGCATCGGCACGGGGTCACTGGATTGGATGCACGCATGAGCTGTCATTGGACTGCAGGACTTCGGTATCAGCACTTGTTGAAGGGGTCACCATGAAGATATTAGGTAAATCAGGTTATCAATGGCGCATTGGGCGAGGACGTCAAACTCGTATTTGATACAACTACGTCTTATGCGCCATCTATCAGCCCAATATCTACGAGAGAAACTGGAATACAGGTTCGGCATGACCAAGAGAATGTTCTCCCTCTTGGGAGGCCGAGCAAGTTCTTGAAGCTGAATTGTTCGGTGAAGCCAATAAACGCCATGTAGACACCACGGATCGTATACATATGGGTCCAATGGTTGCATGTGAGGCAGCCCTGGTCCAAATGATGATGCCTGTACAACACCGGATGTTGGGCATCCTATTAACCGTTAACTCCCCCCACCACAAACTGACATGATGTGAGCGATATCTTGGGTGAGACGGTGGCCCGGACACTTCTAAATCCGCCCAATCTCCAACTGTAAGCAGGTGACTCAAGGCTCGGATATCTATGCGCGCATTGTTCACACCGTGGACTTTTCCGGACTTGCCGGCGTAATAGAACAACGTACTATACGGTCTATCCGTTCAGAAAAAGCAAAGAATAGATAAGACCAGAGAGTACGATGAAAAGATAATGATAATACAATAGACACAAATAGGAGGATTCCTCGCCAAGTGAACGCCCGTCACCAGCGCGGCGGACGAATCCCACCAATTCCATACTTCCACAAGATTGAGGCACTGGGAAATCTGGGCCAACATTGGTCAGGCGTGAGGAGAAAATGTGCTATGATGGAGGCTACACATACCAGATCGTATACGAGCCCCCACGGGTCCTTTCGTTGAAGAGCCATGGGAGTCGGAAACGCCAGCTCTGGACCATCCTCCACTGCGGAGGCAGGATTCCCAATCGGGCACCTGATATCTCTGTATACGAAAATAATAAGCAAGTTTGGCATCACCTAGGGTTGGCCATGTACCTACTTATCGAGGAAGAGATAGACTACCAACCAGATCACTGTGAAGTTTATAGCCAATCCACTCGAGCTCATGGTTCTGGGTATGCAGATAACGTCGTATGCAGTTTCTCTGTAATATTGGAGTATAGTGACGTCTTCGTAATGCCATCTGAAGGGCCTTGGACCAATTTGTAGATCATTCGCACGTAGCTAGTGGCCCACCCAGCTCCCATACAGATAACGAAGACATCGCCTGTCTATGATACCTCGTGGTCAGATGCTCCTCCAAGTCCTGCCAAATACGTCCATGGTATTCCTTGAGATATAGCAAAAGGTATATACGATGATATAGTTTGTTAGTGATGGAAGGATCCGCGATAGGTTCTCGGCAAACATGGATAATGCCAGGTAGTTATGGTGACATCTTAACGATCGATGATAGTGGAAGGGTCCCTTGTTTGACCACAGCGTAGTATGTCCAGATTTGATATTCCTAGATGTTCACGGAGGACGAGATGTACTGATGTGTGACCATGCGGGTCGTACCCATGTTGCGAGCTGACCCTGCTGGCTCAGCTTATCGAATATCACCTCATGTCCATACAAGGTCTACGTGGTATTCGCATCACGTTCCAGTCGGTGCCTGAATCTTAGTGCCACTGACGACAATGCTCAGGTAACTACGAGTATACCAGCTATATGCCTAGATTGCTGCTGCAGTATGATATATGCAAGACGCCATGCTGGCCGACTTTGACGTTACATCTAATCAAGATACTGCAGTATATCCAGCGCTACCCACCACGCAAGCAAGCAAGACAAGGGGAACTGGAATATCCTTTCTCTTTGATTTTGGTGTCGGCGATCCTACTACAATCACTAGTATCGTTGCCATCATGGGCTTCCTTCATGGCTTTCTCTCCCAGCCGACAACCTATGCTATACTGGCCTTGGTGGTTATTCCGGTCACAGCTCTGGCGTGGGACAGGCTGCCGGGTTTGCTGCCTTCTGCAAAGAGGTTATTGGTTGGCAAAAAGAATCCCTCTGAGATAACCTCAATGGAGTGCCCTTATAGTTACATCCGAGAGATATACGGAATGCATCACTGGGCACCATTCGTTAACAAACTCTCTCCCAAGCTCAAGGCAGAGAGTCCGGCAAGGCACCACATGATCCTCGAGATCATGGATGGAATTCATCTTTGCCTGATGCTTGTTGATGATGTATGCCAGATAACTCCATGAACAAGTCTTTTCCTTACTGATATGGGCTCGCAGATTAGTGACAACAGTGACTATCGGAAAGGGCGTCCCGCAGCCCATCGCATTTATGGTCCTTCGGAGACAGCAAACCGAGCGTACTATCGGGTAACCCAACTACTGAATCGCACCGTGCACGAGTACCCGGAGCTTGCACCTTGGCTGCTTCAATGCCTTGAAGAGATCCTACAAGGACAAGACCTCTCACTTGTCTGGCGCCGGGACGGCCTCTCTGCCTTTCCCGTCCAGTCAGAGGAGCGAGTGGCGGCATATCGCCGAATGGCATATTTGAAGACAGGTGCCCTCTTCCGCCTAGTAGGGCAGCTTGTACTAGAGAATCAATCATACGATGATACGTTGACTACAGTAGCGTGAGTCGATCAGGAGGGCTAGTTTTGTGCGTGCATCGTTAACTTATGGCCTTCCTAGATGGTATTCACAACTGCAAAACGATTGCAAGAACGTGTACTCCTCCGACTATGCAAAAGCCAAGGGAGCTATTGCCGAAGACCTACGCAATGGCGAGCTTACTTACCCAATTGTTGTCGCCTTAAACGCTTCTCAGGGGCACCATGTGGCGCGAGCTTTGGAGTTTCGATCGCCACATAATATCCGACAGGCTCTACGAGTGATCCAGAGTGAACAGGTCCGAAATGCATGTCTTACCGAAATGAAAAAATCAGCAGTTTCGATCCAAGACTGGCTCGCACTCTGGGGACGAAACGAGAAGATGGACATGAAGAGCGAAAAATAATACGGGGTAATCTTTGCTAGTAGGAATTAAGTTCAACAGTATGCAGATAGTGAAGATAGATGTTCTGCTTTAGTCTATCAATAACAAGCCCGGAATGAGTCACTTGTATTTTACTGCCTTCCACAACTTAGAGTGGCTCCGTTATTTCCATGTAGAAGCCAGCAGCCGTTCTATTGTCACGCGGAGGGCATGAACATGGACCGTACAAAAGGGGAGACTCACTAGAGCAGACCATGGAGCCTGACCTTGCCCGCATATGCCGAGATATTTGCAGAAGCCACAGGAGTCAAATATCCCATCACCTGTTCCATACAGCTGACGACCGGGCAAGGAGAGCCTGTCGACCGTAGTCCAGGAGAATGACCCGTGAGCCAACGAGATGCAGACCTGAGATGGCCTGTAGGGTTCCCCATCTCTGAAAAGGCTAATAGCAAACTCCTGATAATGGATGTGATGGTGTAATCTTACCCTGCGCTTTCCCCTTAATCCACCCCGCGTGGTCGTTATATATAGGATTTTACCACCCTTCAACTCCCAAAGAGCTTTCCACTAGCCTAGTATTTCCTGCTACTATCATCATTTTTAACCCTGCATTCCACCAATTCATATCATTTGCTACGATACCATCCTTGCCAAACCCCAACTTGTCAAGATGATTTCAGGCGTACCCGATCGTTGGAAGCTTGTTGCGTCTTCTTTCTCTTCAACGCTCAATGCAAGCTATCCCACTCCGAGTCCATTGTCAACCGAGTCCATAGATACTAGAGGTTCATCCCCTCAAGTGCCGGTGTCTACGCCGGTCGACAAAGAGAAAGTGCGGGCACCAATTGTACTCCTAGAGATGTGACAAGCTGACGGAGGCATGAAGATTATTTGGGGGCCTGTTGACTATCTATTAAAATGTCCTGGAAAGGATATCCGTCGCAAGTTCATGCAAGCCTTCAATGAATGGTTACGAATTCCAGAGGACAGGTTGAACATCATCGCCGAGATTGTTGGTTTACTGCACACAGCGTCACTCTTGTACGTGTCCGTCCACTACTGAAAGAATATTGTATGACTCGTCAGTCGCACTCGTGCTAACTTTGTCTTGCATATGTGATTTCTTGCAGGATCGACGACATTCAAGATTCATCCAAGCTGCGACGAGGGATACCTGTAGCCCATTCCATATTCGGTGTCGCGCAAACTATTAACTCCGCGAACTACGCCTACTTTGCCGCCCAGGAGAAGCTCAGAGAGCTCAACCGCCCCAAGGCGTACGAAGTCTTTACTGAAGAGCTACTCCGTTTACATCGGGGGCAGGGTATGGATCTATATTGGCGAGACTCCCTGACCTGCCCCACTGAGGAAGAGTATATCGAGATGATTTCGAACAAGACGGGCGGTCTTTTCCGGTTGGCAATCAAGCTTATGCAGCTGGAGAGTGAGATATCGAGGTGGGTCTCTCTCTACATATTCTTTGAACTGCAAGGATCGTTGACCAGAGTAGCGATTTCCTCGGCCTTGTGGATCTTTTGGGCATCATCTTTCAGATCCGTGACGACTATCAGAATCTTCAAAGTGACTTGTACAGCAAAAACAAAGGGTTCTGTGAAGACCTCACGGAAGGTAAATTTTCTTTTCTGATCATCCACAGCATCAATAGTAATTCTGGTGATCAACAACTGCTCAATATCCTCCGGCAGCGCAGCGAGGAGGAGTCGGTGAAGAAATACGCCGTGGAATATATTCGGTCCACAGGATCTTTCGACTACTGTCAAGAGCGACTGGCATCCTTGCTGCATGAAGCAAAGATGATGGTCAACGTACTAGAAGAGAACGTTGGGTTTTCCAAGGGAATCTATGACATCTTAGCTTTCTTACTATGATGCCACGTCTCATCGGAATCCGGGGAAAGCTTTCGGGGAAGGCGAATGCAACCACCATAGTTCTAAACTACTATTGGGAATCATATTCTAGTTCAGGACTTCCCTGTAGTCAAATGGAGAGCCATAACCATCCTTTCCCATTCCAGCAACGCTGCCCCTCCTCCTGTACCGGCTGTGCTCTCGACTGGCCTAATCACGACGAGCCCGGATGTATGTTACACCATTGTAGCGAGTAGCGCAGGTTATTCGAAGTTCTTACGATCGAATATGACATCGACCAGACACCCCTTCCTCTGAGAAAAGTAGTTCCAAACTGACCTGGAGGTTTTCTCATTGGACGGTCGATGATAGCGATGCAGCACCGCTGTCAAGGTTGCGTAAGGATGGGGAAAACTGTCATAATCGACCCCTCGTATACACCAAAAGGTCGTTTCATAATCCGCATACACGAGTTGTTCGATTTCAAATCGGGCTATGCCGTGGGTATCAGCGAAGAAGGCACTGGGAAACGGCCGTTTTACATGGGTACTTTTACTCAAATAGGTTATTCACACGTACATGTAGCGCAAAGGGCTTCCCATTGTATCTAAAACTACCCTAACCCCCAAGCACACTTTTACAGTAGGGGTCGGCTGTACTGCGCATATTGCATAAGAGAGGTACCATAGACTACATAGAGAGACAAGGTAGAATCAGGCCAACATATAAACATTGCTAGAGATCATGGGGCGCCTACAGAGCCGTAAGATGAGGGTAGTGGAGACTGAGGAGTTTAAAAGCGTAGGCGGCCTCCAGCCTGGGCTAAATACATTGAATCGCACAACTGGACGCGCTCTAGAAGTATGGAATTTTGAGAGGATTTGATGAGATAGCCAAATAGAACGTTTGCTGATATTGACCACTACTGTGGTGGCTCATGTAGTCTTCATAAACCGGACGCCCCCGACAAAGTCCGTAAGACATGGAATAAACCTTTGGTATACCCGTGTTCTGCCTGAGGCGTCCATGCTGATGGGTCAACTGGGACCTCAATCGGCCTGGTACCTGATCGAAACTATCACTTCGTATACTTGAAGCAGTGAAGTGCCTTATTGCTATTACTAAATCGCCATCTTCATTCCTGGAGTGGGAAAACAGATATTGAAAAGGAAACTTAGTGCATTCTCTGTCAAGTCTAAATACATTTGAGATGGCACAGATCTGGTGGCTTTGCAACGCTAAGCTGGCCGATTTAGCGTCACCCTGTTCCCTGGACCCTGGAAGATAGCTAGAGCGGCTGCTTTAGTACGCTGGCTGTCGGTTGAGAAACTTTTGACGAGTTCTTCCAATTCACGGAGAGTCTGAGCTGTGCCGCAGAGCGGGAGACAAAGCTTGGGATGCTCTAGATAATTTGTCTTGCAGCCCCTGATCTCGGGGAGATTCAACTGGCCTCGAACCAGGGTGACGATGACCTTACTGCCCCACTTTTGGGCTCACAGTAAAATATTTGGCCCGCTTGCCCAGAGAGCGACCGGCCTCGTCGAGGTACCGGTAGAATTTGCCGGCATCCATTGTAAAGCTGCGCCCGCCTACCCAGTCCCAGTTGCCGACCACGTACTGGACGGTGCGTGCCCTTGACAACATGACGTTCGTCCGCTTCACGGACTGGAGGAAGCCGGCCGAGCCCGAATTGCGCGTGATTAGGACAATCACGACCTGCGCCTCCGACCCTTGGGAAGCGTCAACAGTTTGGACCCTGGGGCAGGGCGCAGCATCGGGATGCCTCTGCTCCCAAAGCTTCTTTACCAGGGCCACTTGAGCCCGGTATGGGGACATAATTAGAATTTCCTGACAACCTCTATCGACGAGGCTTCGGGCCAGGGCGATCCCAACTTCGGCTTCCATGGGGTGGAATAAGGATCCCGAGGGATCCTTGTTCGTATCACCTTCAACGTGTGCCAGGTGAAGGAAGTGCGACAAGCCTGGCAGAGTCCAGGTCCTGTTGCCCTGTCGGGCAACCAAGGGGTTTTGCGGGTTGATCCCGACGTTGACACGGGGCGCAGCGTACAAGGCTTGAACCTGGCCGTCGTAGTAGGCGACCGAGGTCGGTTGGTACAGGATCGTGTGGGACCTGTACGACACGTTCAGCAACGTCTGATGATACTTTTTGTTGATCAGACGTTCGAAGGCGGATATCGCCCATGCCATCTCACCCTGGCGAGTAAAGACAGGGGGCGACAATTGCCTGTGGTCCCCGACAAAGAGTACGCGGGCATCAATCTTCAATTGACCCAGGATGTAAAAAATTTCAGGGTCTCGGAAAAAGCTCGCCTCATCGAAGATGACGAATTCGGGGTTGAACTCGCGCCGAACCATCTCCCGCACGTTCAGCGGCAAGGTTACCACGATCTGAACATCTTTCATGATGTTCCTGATGAGTTCCTGGCGCTGGTGGTTGAACTCCTTAAACTTCCTCTTCACCCGGCCCGAGGCTTTAATATCCTGAATGCCAGCAAGGAACTCGCGGTATTTGCCAGGCGCCTTCTTTGCACAAGCAATCATTCGCTCAACATCGTCGCTGGGCTCAGTGACGGCGGCAAAAAGCCGGGCCTCGGAGTCTGCTCTGCCACGCAGGCGTACAAGCATGTCCATGCGGTACTTCTCGTGGTCGAATGCAGTGCACAATTGGTTCATCACAGCGGCTCCTGCTGCGTGGGTCGGGACTAGGACGGCCAGTTTGGCATGTCCGACCGACCCACGGGCGAGGATCTGGGTGACGAGCATAGCTGCTGCGGCAATTGTACTTGTTTTACCAGTGCCTGGAGGCCCAACCACCAGGGAGAAGGAATGCGTCAGCAGCTGAGTAGCTGCTTCTGTCTCTGCCTCATTCAGACCCCAGCTCTCTGGCACCAGGGAGTTGAGATCAGTGAGCGAGGTGTCCCATGGGTCGTGGGTATTGATCCGGGGGGTCGAAGCAAGGAACATGGACTTCAGCGGAAGCCTCTTGTTGCTCTCGCTGGGGATTGTCGCCTCTTGGTTCTCGAACTCACGACACATGGCGTCGAAGCTTTCCTCCCCCCAGTGTTCAGAGAGCTTTCTGGTGGCGCTCAGCATCTGCATCTGCACTATCGGGTTGGCCACCTGATGGACCTTAACATCGTCCTCCTCGACTTGACCGATGAACTTGATATCCACTTGATTGAGGAGGACGGCATGGACTGGGGCATCAATCAAGCCTGTCCACTTAGGGGAGGTCTCGGTCACTGATGCCACCCAGTCCTCCGGGACGCCCTTCTCGCCAGGAATATGATAGTCCTTGGCCTTTTCTTGGTTAAACCATTCCTCGCCACGGAGTACTAGAGTGCACCCTCTGTACAGGCGAAACGGACGTTCTTCCTTGGGTCATATCCCCAAGAGAATTCGGTCCGCAACTGCAACACTCTTGACTTGGTAGCCACGAACACCGAGGCACTTATGCTCTTCCTCAGCCTCGGTGTTGATAGCATCGCGATTGAGAGTTATATAGGCAGTCTCCGCTTGGGAAAGCGTGAATCTGTCGCCGCGAAGGGCCTGGCAGACCAACTCAGATTGCTTTGCCCATAGCTTGGCACTGGGCAAACCCAGGGCGATCACAACAACCTTATTCAGCAAGGGCGCTGCTGCCAGTGGGTATGTAGATGCCTGTGGTAGATTGCCTGCCTTTTCAGTGTCGGCTTCGCCCACCAGACCGAGGTTGGACTTGAAGGTGTACACCAGCTCGTTCTCCTTCGTCTCAAGTGACACAATGGTAACTTCGTTCACATGGAATGTGATGTTCCAGAATGAGCGACTGCGGCCCTGGTCGATGGAGGTACCCTGCCGGAGCTTGATGAATGCCGAGGACAGCATCAGACTGATTGCGGGATCAGTTGCAATCTCTTTGGCCATCGTAGTGTCTTCGTTCGAGCCATGATATTTAATGGACTTGACCGGGAACTTGACGGTGGAGCTTCCCTTGCTGAAAAGAGGTTGAGACATTTTGCCGTAGTGGGATCAGCTGCTGCTGTTTCCCTTAGCGAATGCCGCGAGAGGCGAGGAAGGCGAAGAAGGCGAGGAAGGCGAAGAAGGCGAGGAAGGCGAGGAGGGCGAGGAAGGCGAGGAGACAAACGCTGTAGTGGGATCAGCTACTGCTGTTTCCCTTGGCGAATGCCGCAAGAGGATGAGAGGGCGAGACGCGAGGAACTCGATGGGCAAACGCCGTAGTGGGATCAGCTACTGCTGTTTCCCTTGGCGAATGTCAAGAGAGGATACGAAAAACGAGACAGTGTGATAGAGAAACACGCTGGGATCAGCTTCTGCTGTTCTCTTCAACGAACCAAGGAGACCAAGAGGATGAGGACCGCCTCGATGGGACCAGCTCTGCTGTATCCCTTTTGGCAGGAGGGGGGAGAAATATTAAATTTTAACTAGGTTGATAGAGCAGGAGAGCTGATTATGATTTTCGAAAGTTGCCGCCCAGCAAGCTGTGATGATGATGAAGGTGGTGGTGGTGATGATGATGGTGATGATGATGGTGGTGGTGGTGTTGGTGGGGTGAAGGAAGAAAAATGAAATCGAAGAGCACAGAGACACGACTGGGTAGGAAGAGAAATTTTCAAAACAAAGACACGCGACGAGAGTCCTACAAATATTGAAGGGTCAACCACAAACAGAGGTCGAGTTCATATCATGATTTATTCTCGTTCCGGGACCTGATGACGCTTTACAACCGCAGAGCTTCCATCTCCTCAATCCTAAGATTATACCTACGTGACCAAGAGACTGTCCGTACTCTTTTAGATGCCTTCGTTGTCAATTATATCCGATCAGGTCTTTGGCCCTTCGCCAGATGAATTTTCTGGAGACTTTGATATAGATGTCATGCCCGATTAGGACTAGCGTGATCCGACACAATCAACAAGCGCTGTGCCTGAGGAACCAATGGCAGACAAGCAGTTTAGTAGCGCTGCTTTAAGGAAAATGGTGTATGAGGCGATAACCAAGAATATGAGACTAAACAGTTCTCTATTTGACCTTGATTATAGGTGCTGAACTAGATGGTCTTGACACGAATACAAAGACTGCAGGGCGGAACGTGCAAGACTACTGTTTGGAGGTGTTGCCTTTTGATCTTGACTATTGGTTGTATGAATCTGGGTTGAGCGTATCCATAAAATTCTGAAGTAGCATACATAGCTAAACAAGCAATCCCCGTCCCCAATACCCTCTCTAACGGATACTGGTGTGTTGCGGAAACTAAAGGCGAGAGGGGAGATGTCCGCCTGCTCCTCCTGCTCCTCCTGCTCCATCTGGCCCCCTTCACCCTTATGGTCAACATCTTTGGGTCTAGGCAGTCTGGACCCTGGACGATTTCCGCGGGTTGGGAGATTCTCGTCAGTGGGAGTATTTCTCCTGCCCCTAGCTCTAGGGGCTTCCACAACCGTTTCTCTCCAACCTTCTCCCTCGCGGACTTCTTGAGTCTCTCAGCCTCCCCCTTCTTCTTCCACTTCTTGCTCGGTATCCCACTCAGTATCCTCATCATGTAACCCAACCGAGGTAAGCCCAAAATACATCTCTGAATCGGGATCAAGGTCTTCGTCGGTCGCGTCGGCAGCACCACTCAGGGCAAGCACTCGATGCAGGACCCACTGCATTTCTAGCAACTCCACCGATGGAAGGGGGTGGCTGACTGGGTTATCAGTTTCGAAGGTGATTATATCCCCAGAGCAAAGCTTCGTATCCGTCGCAATATTATACAGCTTCGCACTGTGTTCACCGTTCACGGTACTGGAGGAGAAGTCGCGGGGGAAAGGACTGGGAGTTTCGATTGCTGGGATCCCACGAAAGTATAGATTTGTCGGTAGCCAGAAGAATTGCACTGTAAGAACTCTCTGATCCTCGCTTAAGGACAGAGGCTTCAAGGCAAAGCGTGCTTTTTCCCACAGCTTGTGGGCAACGTTGACCATGCACATCATGTTCGAACAGGTCTCTGTCCCATCTGGACCTAAGACGTGTTCGCTCCAGCTACGGACCTTTTCTGGGATCCAGAAAAATGTCAAAACACGCCAGAAGTCTTGAAGCTCATTTTCCCCCTTCTGGCCGATGCTGTATGGGTATATATGTGCAACTTCTAGCGGTTCGAGAAACCCGGTCAGAACACAAGTACTGTTATCCCGTTCATTACACTTAATGTGGTTAGTAGGAAATTGAGTCGGTCGGGTCATGTATATATAAATTCAACTTACCAGTTTCTTTGCGGCTGCCTCACGGCCAGTCCACTTCTTCGGCGACAAAGAAGTGGACCCCGTTTCAGGTCTTGTCGTCGCAGAGGATGTCGTGGCCAACGGACGCCCAGCCTCTTCCCTGGCAATCCGTCGAAGGGTTTTGGAAGGCTTTCCTGAAGCAGCAGTACGCCGGCGTTTCTTAGTTGAGGTTTCTTCGATCCCCGTTTCTGCAGTGTCGTGGAAGCACTCCTCCAAATCGTAGTGGAACTGTGCTGTATCCCTTGGGTTTTTAGACCGAACTGCCCCTGGTGTAGTATTAGCTAGTAGCTCTTGATAGGGTCAATACAGTGACTTACAGGCTTTGATCATATCCGTACAAGATTTATTCTTGAGGCTGAGTCCTACCGTACTGCAGCTGAATTCATCTTGTTCACATTGTTTCATCATCCTCCTTATGCTCACGAGGTCGGCAAACCACAGACAAGCCCATTCGATCGAATTCAGTTTAGTTTCTCCAATAGCGTGCAATAGCTGCACGATAAGCTCGCGTCTCTGTGGGTCGAGGAGCTCGTCTGCAGGGCCCATTGTAGCTGTACGGACTGGCTCAGAGGTAAGAGAGGTGGGTTGTTCGGTGGGCATCAGTGTCGACATTATCAGTAACTCAGGTGGTACCAGCCTCTGCTGTATACCACACAAGACTTGTAACGAGAAGTTGACGCCAGCTTCTGCTGGATGCTGCGAGGATACCCTAACAGGAAAATAGGAATCAGCCGGTGCGGTGTATCAAGCGCAGGAAGGAATAGCAGTGCACAGCCAAAGCCGGTTCGTTGGGAGCAGCCGGGATGTGACTTTGGGGGAGGTCGAGATCGAAGGGCGGAGCGTGGAGGTGAGAAGTAGGAAGGAATGACATATGACATATGTATTAATTCTGGGCTGACTGAGTCATGGCATCCGGCGTTGTCATAGTTATTGAATAATTGCATTCGATATTCAAGCGGTTCCAGAATTCTGGTAAAAATACACGTATTGTTATCCCTTTCATTACACTTGATTGTGTTAGTGAAAGGGTGACTCGATTGTGTCATACGTACATAGAACTTACTGATTTCTTTGCCGCTGCCTTGCGGCCGGACGACTTCTTATGCGACAAAGAGGTGGATCCTTCTGCAGGTCCTGGAATCGCAGAGGGACGTTCAGCTTCTTGCTTGTCGACCCGTCTAGGGATTTTCGAAGGCCTCCTTGAGCCGGCAAGACTGCTCTGAGTCTTCGTCAAACCGTGCATTATCCCGTTGGGCTATAGACCAAACCGCCCCTGATGTTGCATTAGCTAGCACTTCGTATGGTCAATCAAGTTACTTACAGGCTTTAATCATTTTCGCAAGGGCCTCCCTGTTGAGACAGGCTCTGACAACGCTGCAGCCAACCCGACTCTGTCCACGCTGTTTGATTGACTCGTGTGTGTTCGAGAGGTCTGCGAACGACAGGCAAGTCCATGCGGCTGAAATAACTCGAGGTTCTTCGGTAATGCGTAAAAGGTGTGTGATCAAGCCGTGTCGCTGGGCATCGAGACGCTCGTCCGCAGAGCTCATGGTAGCCGATTGGGCTATGTCAGAGTTAAGACATGTAAGCTATTAGGTGGACGTAAGGGTCAACATCACCAGTAGCTAAATTGGCACCAGCTTCTGCTGTGTACCGTGAGGATGCTCGAGCGAAAAGATGAGGGTTTATATAGGCCGAGGTGGAAGGCAAACTGTGAAGCTCTGAAGCCTTAGTCAGTGACAGAGGAAGATAGGAAAGTGATAATTATACTGAGTAGTTAATTCTGGGCTAGATGAATCATGATCGCACCCTATCTTTATTATACTGACTCCACTATTGAATGGTAAATAGCATTACTAGACAGGGCCTTGTGTGTTCGCTCCTATTCATCAAGTCGGGACGATATAACAATCCCAAATCCTGGCTCCGATGGCGTATCTTCACCACTTGCTCGAGCATTCAACATCTTCATCGGCAGACCAGTAAATTTCAGTCCATTTTGTGAACAGGAATCTTCACATTTGCATATTCACAAGCGTGGTCCCAACGGGAAGATCCTACTTGAATACCGGGATAGCGAGAGGTACAAAATTAATTAGCAACAAATCGACACGTCCACAGAAAGACAATGAATGGTCAGGCATCGGCCATGCTATGGATGGATATACATGGATTCTCCAATTGGGTGTCCTGGTCGAAGATCGCTAGAAGGAATGCTACGCTAGTGGACGACGCTCAACACCGATGCCAAGGGCAGATCCTTCCTCCACCAGAGCCACGTCGACCGGTACGGGGCACTAATATGGCAGTAGTGTCAGTCTCAGTTGGTCACCCTTTATTTGGATCAACCCCTTCCTTGTTTTCTTAGCCGGTTATATATAACCCGTGTACATTTCCGAGACCATACCGGTCTGTTGACTGCTTGACGAAGGAGACGCAGGACGAAAGAGCTTGCAAACACTGTGGTAATTTCTTGGTGTGATACATCCAGTACTGTATTTATACAGGCGGGAACACAGCATTTCGTAAATCGCAGAGAAAGATGCACACTAGAATGAACGTGATAGCCACTGCATTCCGTGACGCTTCAAGGTTGTCCTTATTGTATGCAGCGAAGCATGGTAACGAAACCGTGATTAGGCTACTGCTGCTCCAGGACGCCCCCGTAGATCAATTCTCTAAAAATCAGCGGACACCGCTATCATACGCGGCCGCGGGAGGGCATGAGATAGTAGCAAAGCTGCTACTTGAAGCCGGTGCGGACCCGAACTCCCATGATACACGCGGATTGACACCACTATCACACGCGGCCTTGAACGGGCATGAGGCGGCTGTAAAGCTGCTACTCGAGAAAGACTGTGGACCGGACTCTAGGTGTAAGCTCGCACGGACACCACGGTCATACACGGCAGAGAAAGGGCATGACACTGTGGTCAAGCTACTACCTGAGAAAGGCGCTGAACCGGACTTGAACGATATCCTCGGACGAACGCCACTACCATATGCGGCCAAGCAAGGACATAAAGCAATGATTAGGCTGCTGCTTGCGCATGGTGCCGAACTAGATGCAAAGGCTAGTAGACCCTGCTATTTCAGTGTCCGCGACTTCATAGAAGCAGCTGAGATACTCCATTTGGATCAATTGGGGATGGATGAGCCGCGGACACTGCTATCGTACGCTGCGCAGGGAGGCCATGAAGCAGTGGCTCGGCATTTGATTGGCCATGGCGCTGAGCGAGGTTTAGAAAGTGCATTCGGACGAAGTCGGCTATCGGATGTCACACAGGAGGAGTATGAGGGGATGATACAGACGCTTCCTCCCTTTGGGTACGAGACACTGTCAGGCAAAAATATCTTCCGGCTTGTGAGAATTTCCCCAGGCTTCGACGGCCCCTTAGAATGCTTTCTGGGAGATTATACGCTGTCTAGCGACATACATCGTCCGTGTTGGTCTAGCAGCCGTTATCCTCACTATAAAGCCCTTTCCTACACCTGGGGTGTCTCAAACCGAAAGAGCTGGATTCTTCTGAATGGAGCCACCTTCCCGGTGACACAGGACCTTTACGAAGCTTTGCAACAACTTCGATCCTCGGACTATGGTTATACCCTCTGGTGGATTGATCTAATTTGCATTAACCAGAATGACATATCGGAGCGATACCAACAGGTGTCGATGATGAAGGACATATTCAGCATGGCCAGTGAGGTGGTAGTATGGCTGGGTAAAGACACGCCATTACCGACAGAAAAGGAAATCAATTACTTGCCATCTCTCGAGGATGACGATTTGATGCGTATTGTATCAGCGCCATACTGGTCTCGCGTTTAGATCATCCAAGAAATAATGGTGGCAGGGAAGATCATTCTCATGTCGGGAAGTGGGACAACTTCTTGGCCAACGTTTGTTGCGCAGGTGGAGATGTTCCTGGGATCCATCGACCAAGACAATGTTGGTTTTAACCCCGAGGTGCAGTGTATTACGAAGAGCAACTGCAAAGAACTGGTTGAGCTGTGGAAGAGAAAGGACACGCAGACACTCAATCTCGGAACCTTAGTATGTTTTGCTAGGGATGCCTCGGCAACGAACCCTCATGACAAGATCTATGGTCTCCTAGGGCTGGTGAATCACTGGTCCGGAGGGACATCGTGCCAGATTATGGCCGCTCGCCATGCTCAACATACTGTATAGCGATTCAGAAGATGCAGGGTGACATACCGCAGAACTTGTCCCTCCTACGCACACAATTGGACCCACTGAAACACAATCCATTCAACGTGGATGGCAGGAATTCCGACTGTGGAGGCGTTGAATGTGGGGTTTGGGATTTTTGTAAACTTTTTGCGTTTCGTGCACGGGCACGCCAAATGTAAGTGAGGAATGATAGTCTATAATATATCTAATTATTGAAATACTATAGGGGCCGAGATGTAGGGATTGGCTTCAGCGGGTGGAGTTGGTAGAGCTCTGCGAGCAGCATAAATCATGAACACATTGTGACGGTGGGATCGACCGCTACCCCCGATGAGAGCATGCAGTTTGGCTGTGAGGCTGTGGTGGTAATGTGGTATGGTAATTATTCTCATTAGTGCCGCAGGGGCTTTTTGTCTTCTCTAATAGTATAGGACGATAGACATGTTGATGCAGCCTCGGAATTGTTGTTCGGGTCCGAAGCCCTCGGATCCGGGCCGGACCGAACGAGCTGACGGACTCGGCAACCATTTTTCCATAACGAGGATTGAAGAAAGAATGGTAGTAAAAGGGACAAACGCAAAGAGGAAAAGGGGGAGAATGAATCCTAGATTAATATGAGATCTACATCCTTCGTCAAGTCATTCTTTCGTTTTCTTGGAGCTTCCCTCATTTGTAGCACCTAAATCGCAATATGTATATATATTGTCGTCCTGAGACTCCTACCAACATCTACCTCTTCTACACGCTTACAATGTCACTTGAAAATATAGAGAGAGATCTTAAGTCGAGCTTGTTAATACATTCCTGGTATTTTCTCCAGATGTAATGAGATGACTCAAATTAAAGTCCAAATAAATGACCATTACTCGGGTGAGTTCCAATCGCTGGCTGTCTGGCGACAGTGCAAACAAACCAGGGACGGGAAGTATGATTGAATATAGTTCCCAAAAGGAATGAGCATATGTTCTGCCATCTTTACTCCGAGCGAATAGACAAGAAATGAGGTCTATTCTCGGTCGAGATACTACAAGGGCAGCTGCAGCTGGCCTAATGCATGGCACATCACATGAGTCGCACGGCCCGCGTTGACTTCCCCTCCATTGAAGGGGGAATGAACTTCTCAAGCCCGCTGGCTCTGAGGCTGGATCTATGCCTCCCAATCACTATCTCCACATTGCTTTGAAACTTCTCCAATTTGACTCTGTACGGAACATCATAGTACGCGGCGCCAAGACAGCCATGACCCCACGGTTCCAGAGGATCAGAGCGTAGCAACACGAACGTCTTACATGCCTCAGAGTCTCGAAGATACCGCCAAGTTGGTGCATTCCGAGGACCCTGGCGAACAAGCGCTTGGACAGACCCTGCAATGCTATCAGATGCAGTTGATGTTGCTGGAGCAACAATATAAACGCTACAAATCGCGGTTGGAACAAGAACGGAAAGCTTCCGAATCAGCATCGTCCTAGAGAATGGCGTTTGCGGGTTCTGCGATGGACTGCCCTGGTGGTTACCAGCAATTGAATCGGGATATTTGACGTGGGCGGGAAATGGCGGATTACCTTCCACCATGGTGACACCGGGGTTGATATTGGATACGCTATTTGATGCGCATCGTCGTGCTCGCTGAGATAATATGTGTTTTCTGGATAACACTAATGGATGGGTATATATGTCCCTGAGCTATATGTGGTTGTAATTACGTGTCCAGAAAGCAAAAGGATCGGTCAGTGACTATACATCCTAAATCCCACGCAACGCCATTTGTGCGCCCGGCCCGAATGCAAGTAAAAAGAGATCGCTGGTACAAATTTCTTGACCGGACAGAAGTATATCAGGACGTGAAAGCCTGCGCGAGAGCACACGCGCCAATGACTAATCTGGAGGGAGCTTCTTGGTCGGGATTTCATGTTCCTTTACTCTCCGTATGCTTCCAAGTGCAGAAAAGGCATGATACAGAGTCTGGGCCTGTTGAGGGATCGCTTGACTCGGATATTTCGACCGTAACACCTGCTGGAACAAGCGCATTACGGCGGCTTGGTTGTCGAGGTACGCAGGCTCACTCCCAGACGACAGGGCAGGGATTCCTTGGCCGGAAATAACAAAACGGCGCAGTGCGCCACTAGAACTGCTTTCACCGTCTAAGAAAAAAGCACCGCGTTGAACCGCCATGTCCGTCCGAAGCTCTCGACCCGAAGACTCGTCCGGTGCCGTCACCGTGCTGTATGTCCAAAGAGCAAGCGCGGCGAAGTACAAACACGTGGCGCAGAACCCCGTCAGTAGGCCCGGAGCGATACATCGAGCGATGCGTAAGATCTGCCCTGCATGCCATGCAGCTTGCCGTAAATGATTCGGGTTGACATGTTGGATGAAGGCCTCGTATACATCGACAGACCGCTTCTCACCTTCCTTCCCAGCGTATCGCTCAAGCGTGCCCAGAGGCAGATACAAGGAGAGACAGACAGCCTGATGAATAAGGGACACGGCAGGGACAGATTCATGCAGTGGCTCTACGATCGCAATATTGAACTGATCGAGCTCTTGCTCCAATTCACGCTGCCACGACTGGAAGAGTAGACCAGTCCATGGACGGTGTAAGCTATGGCGCGTACGATTGCAGTCGGCTACCATCAGGGACATGCCATGCACGGAGATGAAGGCTGCTAAAGGGAAGTCGATCTGGCGCGGTAACAGACCGAGCGTCGATGGGTCTCGCAAGACACCTGCAAGGGAAGGGAAAGCATCCGGGATTTGAGGAAACTCCTGCAGGTAAACATAACCCCATTCGGAGGCCGTCTTTGCATTCCACAGCCTGCGAGAGCATGGAAAAGGTAGCTCTAGATCACCATATGAGAGCAATGCGTGTGTGGACAGCCGGAAGGACGATTGCACGTCATGGATAAAGAGATGGTAAACGACCCTAGGGCGAGGTCAGCGTAAGCATCCATTGCCATGGAAAATCAATGGCAAAACGTCGATGGACGACCTGCGCCTGTGGTGGCATACCGTTTGTAGGATTCCGACTCAACCCAGTGATGCCATTTCTGATTCAGCGTTTCTTCGTCATCTACCACCGAGGGTGTAATGATGGGGTATCCCTCACTTCGGAGGTGGGATGCTCGGCGTAGCATCTGCTTGGTGATTAGCATTCTGTACTAGAGAGGAATTCCAGCGTGATAAGGGAAGATTGGGAAATCTCCGAAGCGCACCGTCACAATGGGTTGTGCAAAGCTTTCCGCGATCTCAACACGTCGTTTGTCACCACTCCAGAGTCCGATCTGTAAGATGAGAGTATATGCCTGTTGCTGTCGCAAATTGCGTGTGTTGGTATTGTCATTTTCATACTGACGAGGTCAGCCTGGTTTCCGTATCCATGGCACGCAAAGGGCCAACCTACCTTGCTGCTAAGTTCAAGACGGGCTATCTCTAACAGGGCATATCCTAGACGTTGAATGGCGTTCACTGGGGACAGCACTGCTCCAGCAGCAGCCAGGGCTATAATCATCTCCGGACTTTCCTGGTTCAGATCAATAGTGGCTTCGTGGATCCATGAATCTATTTCAGATCTCTGATGGAGAAAGTAGTCTTGGATCAGACTATCTAGGAGCTCCGCACTTGGAAAATAATGCATCATCCGACCAAAGTCGCGTCGCTGGCATATTTGAACGAAGATGGAAAATGCCTTATCACGACTCTCCTTCGATAGGCACTCGGAGAATACTCGCACCTCGGCAGCACCGGACGATATGGACCGGTCAAGATGTTTCGGTACGGACAGATACTGTTGATCCATATAGGCATTGTCTTCGCTGCGAGGGGTCCAATTGGACAGAGGCGAATTGTGATACGCCTCCTTGTCCATCAATCCCAAAGCTTCGGGGACACTGCGCCGAGTTGAGTATTGTGTCGTGCTGTTTGGTCGTTCATGGGCCAGGTCGTGATTGTTGAGAGATGCAAGGAACTCCAGGTCAGCCTCGGTCAAGCCCAGCTCAGGGCTAATATTTCCACCGAAAAAACCGTATTCGTTTGGGGACTGCTTTCATATGTAAGTGTACGATCGGTACTACAGATACTTGGGCTATTATTACCATTAGAGGTAACTTGTTCTGCTCAAAGAACGCCTGGTCGATCACTTCCTCAGCGGCAGAGTAGAAATCGTCCATCAGGCCCGCTGAGAAATCCTGTGGAGGTGGTTCATCTTGTGAATGAGGGATACCGGTGTCGTCCATCTGCTCGCCTGAGTCGGGAGACTCCGCCACTGATCGTTCTGGTTCTGCCGTTGCAATGTGAGCAACACTTTCTGCGATGCAAGTGACGGGCGGCGCTACAGCTGTTGCTACTACCGGTCTCACTTGTGCTTTGACCTTGACCGGGGATAAAGAGGACTTGCTTACCCTGTGGGTCTACAGCATCTGGTGTTCTCTCATCCTGAGGCCAATGACACTCGAGATTCCGCTTGACACATCGACGACAGGGCTTTTGGTCGTCACACTTGAGCTTGGACAGAGCACAATTCTTACAGGCTCGTGACACGCGCCCTCGCATGGCGGAGGCGGCGGAGAGTCTGGAGTCTCGTTGACCCGTGGAATGCCCTCGCGCATGTCGACGTAGGAGATCGCTATCAAGGGATTAGCAGGGTCAACGCGCGATTGCTAGCCAACGGTTCCCTAACATTCTGCCAAAGCCTTTTCCGCACTTGTCACAAACAAATGGCTTGTCCGAGGTATCTGAAAGGAGCAATTGTAATGAGCATTTCTACTATCAGTTGCCGGCGCGCTCAGGATCCAAGAACTCACGCGATCGGACATGGCGGATGAGATGATCAGGTCGTGCATAATGCTTTCTGCAGACGCCACACTGGTAGAAGCCCGTCCGAGACTTATCCTGTCTCTCCGATGGACTGTTCATATTTGTAGACATTGCGATATATCGCAGCAAGACGATATAGTCTGGGGTTGTCGGCCCCAACATTTGTTCTCGGGAGATGATGTCACGGGTTCAGGGATCGGCAATGTGGACTGCCGACGTGCGGAGTCGAAGCCCTACTTCGAAATGCCTCGGCTATTGGAGAAATAATATGAAACATGCATAACCATAGTGTGGTCCATAGTCATGGTATGCATTGTGTCTATGTAGCGGTAAATACTCCAAATTAAACATACATGCCCTGAAGGGTTGGCACTATTCACTGGCCTTCACCCCCATTCCATTCAAATCCTCCCCAAGAACCCCCTGGTTTTTCACCTCCACTGGATGACTGGGAGTCAAAACGTACAACATACGAGACCAGCCCTGGTTTGGAGTAGCGTTGCGCCAGGCATGGTTCGTAGCTCGTTGTACGGCAACATCGCCCCGCTTTAACAGTCGCTTTTCGCCACTGTCGAGTAGCAGCTCGACCTCCCCTTCCAGGACGACGCCATAGTCTAGCGACACAGTCCGATGCATGGGACTGATTGTGTTAGGTGGCATGTCAACAATCCGGCAAACGGTGCCCGTGGAAATGCTCAATCCCGGTGGAGAAGTGAGACGGCGTTCATAGTTGGCAATATCTGCGTCGCCCGACAGCTGAGAAGGGAATTGGTCTGAAGTGTAGGCAAGACTGAAGGTAACCTGGTCGACGTCCTGGACGGGCATGTCTTCCGATAGACGATCGGAAAAGACGGCTTGGCCATTGTCGTCATGAGTGGTGACGAAGCGTTGGAGGGGACGGATATCTTTCTTGTGTTGGGACATTATGTAGGGTATGGATATAGTGGAAAGAGAATATCGGTGATAGTGATGAACTTGAGACTTGAAAAGAGTAATGGCTTGGAGATCTAGTGGGATCTATATACTACTATAGGTCCCACTCAAGACATGCTGGTGGTGGATCTACCTTCGGGCTGCTGTTCGGGTCCACCGTCCTTGCCCTCGGAGGCCATGGGAACACGCCGAAGAATTGTCTTATCATTCATCTAGTCTATCTTTACATTCCAGAGAGGTTTGATGCACCCCGAGCACGTATCCGAAGCCGGCTTTACTTGCCCGGAATCACAGGAAGAGTCACATAGTTCTCGTACGCCGGCCCGAAATGTATGTGGTTGGTTCCCTGCAGTTTCTCCGGGGAGCTGCACCTCATTAGCATCAAATTGACGGGAAACACTAGAATAAAGGGAAGGGAGGACATACCGATCGCTGGGGTCATTGTGTTGGAAAATTCCCGATCCCTGAGTATCGCCCGACGCCACCTCCAGGACGATCTTACCACCCTTTTCGACTACTACGTTGGTCGGCCAGATCTCTACATCTACTGGATAGACCTCACCGGGCATAACAGGCAAGACATCTGTGGAGAAGTAATCACGATGGGGCAAATACTCCTGGTGGCGCAGATGCTTCTCGTTCACCTTGCGCATACTGACGCGCAGCCAGCCTTTGGCCAACGGGACGGGGTCTCCAGCGGTACCAGTGTAGTATACCTCTTCACCGGTAGGGGAGATATAGCGCAGTGTCACGAAGAGATCAATATCGGAGGGGAGCGGACCTCCCTTGTCAGGGGTGACAGATACATTTAAATGAGCGACGATATGGCCGGTGATTTCCGTTTCTTGTTCAAAAGCAGGGGTGCTGAATTGCACAAGGTGAGGACTTTCCAACGTCCCTAACGCGCGGTAATCAACCTTGAGCAAAGTGGACTGGGGTGCTTGCGTCTGCAGGTGGAGATCTGGAGTGAGGAAGAATTTCGTGTATTGCGTGCGAGCGATAGGCCATTCGTTCTCAGTACGCCGAGTATAGGCTCTTTCGGCCTCAGCGTTGTCAAAGCCCACATTTCCCTTCCGAAGCAAGACGTCCACCTTGGGTGCCTTGCCAGTGCTCCATCCCTCACGATCTTCTCCCTTAAGGAAAGCGTCAAGAAAGCTTTTTTGCAGTTCGACTTCTTCGTGGTAGTAAAATGGCAAGTCATGGCGTCCCGTGATAAATCGTAGATATTTGTGTTCTGAACCTGCATTCATATAGCCGATCACGTTGCCACGTAGGTGCAGGAGAATACCACCCCAGTTCGCCACAGAGAGCAGCGGGACCTTAATGTCCTCCATGTTATACTCTTTGGAGGCATAATAGGGTTCATCGCGGAACTTGTGGCTGGCGTTGTCTATCGTCTGGTCGTTGCGGTTTGCTAACAATTCTTCCTCCGACAGGTCACCCTCAATGGTATCGGGACCCCAGTTGCGAGCAGCGCGTCCAGGCCGGCCATATTGATTGGTGATAACCTGGCGATTCCACCAGAACTTGATAAAGGAGTTGGATAGAATGCCGCCATGACGGCATCGGTCGCGGTAATAATCGGACATCCCTTCCCAGGGAATGATGCACGATAGGCCCTTGGGCTGACGTGCAGCGACACGCCACTGGCTGCCAGCGTAGTAGCTGATACCCAGGAGACCAACCTTACCGCTGGACCAGGACTGCTCAGCGGCCCATTCCACTACATCGACGAAGGCTTCGCTCGTGCCCCGCGACATGGTGTCCAAAACGCCGGGCGACTGACCTAGACCACGCTCGTCGGCTCGAACAACGGCATAGCCATGCTTGGTCCAGAATCCAGGATCCGGAGTCTCCCATGCCGAATGGTCGGAGTGATGCTCTGGATTTACCTCGCTATAAGACTTAGCGTGGAAGCTGGAAAGAGTTAGTGACGGATCTTCCTGCGTGAAGAATGGAAAGGATGCCATACTCCTTGTAATGAATATCCTTCCCGTATGGCCCATAGGTAACCAAAACTGGGGAGCGCTCGATATCTTTGGGTCGGTAGACATTGCACCGGATCAATCCGGCGTTGTCCTTCAAGGAGATCGTGACATTCTCTTCGTAGATGTAGGGAAATGAGGTTGTGTCTACGCGAGTAATGTCCTTGATGGGATTTGGCATCTTGGGACGAGTAATAGACCAAAAAAAGTTACAATTGAAGATTTCAAATTAGTGATTTTGCCACTGTACCAGTAGTATATTCGCACGTCTTGCACAACTTGCCTGCTCTAAATATTGCCTCTGGCGATGTTCATGTGGTCGGTTTCATGGTCCCGACCGTATGTGGAGCCGAAGTGTAGGAGCCGAGGCTGTCGAAGGCATAACAACTACGATGTACTATGCATAGTGACCACAGTATGTCGATCAATGTAATAGCCGAGACCCACAGCGCCTACACCGGGAGGAAAGTCGCACCAGTAGTACATACATATTGCAGATGCATGCCTGCCATGGCTGTTTCTCCTTATATACTGCTCTCCCTTGTTCAGTTATCTTTGCTGCAGTTATTCCGTGGCCGTCATTGGGCACATTGTTTCGAACTCGGTCGACATGTCTTCTGAACAGAAGGGCTTAAAAGTCCTCATTGTTGGAGCTGGGATTGGAGGACTAGCTGCTGCTATTGCGCTCCGGCAACAGGGACATGTTATAGAAGTGAGAGCCTAGTTTGCACGCGGCTAGTTGATACCGAGACTGATATAATAACATAGGTATTTGAAAGATCACGATTTGCAAACGAAGTCGGAGCAGCGATTCACCTAACCCCGAATGCGAACGGACTCCTGAAGAGAATTGGGGTTGATGCACGAAAGTACGGTGCGGTGCTGACGGAGCAAGTATGTCAATTCAACATGGAGTGATAGACGAGGACCGACAGACTGACCATTGGGCTTTGTCCTCCAGCTTCGCGACTATACCTCTGATGGCGAGCTCCAGTACACTCTAGACACGAGTTTGATCGCCGATAGCTGGCAACATGTGAGATATACTTCTGTCCTACGGCGTATACTATATTGAGACACCAGCTAACCTTGCTCGTTTAGGAATGGGTGCTGATTCACCGCGCGCATCTTCATGAGGCTCTGAAAGACAAGGCACAGGCTCCTGGCCAGGGAATCCCTATCATTCTCCACACCGCCGCCAAGGTGGCAGACGTGGATCCTCATAATGCAACCATAACTCTGGAAGATGGAAAGCGCGTCGAGGGAGACTTGGTGTTGGGAGCTGATGGTGTTCACTCCGTGGCCCGTCGTCATGTCTCGGGTAAAGAAGTTAAGGCATTCAGCTCGGGTCGCAACGCATTCCGGTTCATGATCCCTCGCAAAGAGGTATTAGACGATCCTGAGACAGCCCACATGGTGCAAACAAACGGAACGCTTCATATGTGGCACAGTGTCGACCGTAAGGTGGTCATTTACCCTTGCGTGAACAACGAGATATTGAACTTTGTGTGCATTCACCCAGACTCCCTAACCAACGAGTATGTCTCCCACGGCTGGAACCAGGGCGTCGGCAAGGACACGCTACTGGAAACTTTCAAAGACTTTGAGCCTGGTGTCCTGAAAATGTTGGACAAGGCAGATCAGGAAACACTGAAGATATGGCCACTGCTGGATATGGAAACCCTACCTCAATGGGTTAATGAGCGACTAGCACTAATGGGCGATGCTGCTCATCCCTTCCTCCCTTATCGGGCCTCTGGAGGCGCCATGGCCATTGAAGACGGTTTGTCGTTGGCGGTTATGCTCCCTGGAGACGTGAAGAGGGAAGATGTTCCCACACGACTGGGTCTATACGAAAAGGCTCGCCAGGAGCGTGTGTTGCAGATACAGGAGTACACGCGAGAGTCAGGAAGGAGGCACGTAGGTGGAAAGGAAGGTATGTAGACACTTTCTGCTTGTCTGACAAGGTGCTAACTAATCCACTTTTAGCCGCCACCATGACGTCGTACATATACGATCACGACGAATGGGATCATTCCAGTGAAGTATTGCGCCAGCACCTTTGGGCACAAAACAAACAGGTTTACTACCGTCAACCAACCGTGTTTGGCCCTATGCCAGGGCCGCGCCAGGACTTTTGGGGCAGAAGCCGAGCGGCGGCCTCGAGCAAGGCGACATTTTGCACAGCATCCGTTCGGTTTAAGACGAGCCGTACTTTGCTGAGAAACCTGCTACCAAATTCGTCTTACAGCTTCACTGGTATGGGAACCGTAGCTTACGCAACCTTCTCTCAAACCACTCTAGATGGTCTAGATTGGCTCGCCGGTGGAGGGTACAACCACTTCGGGCTATACATCCATGGTGTTCAATACAGGAGCGCAGATGGGAAAATTACAGAAGGATCTTACCTTCCAGTTTTATTTGAAGATCTGGCGGATCCTATCCTATCTGGCCGCGAGGAACTGGGATTTCCGAAGGTCTTCAGTACCATCGATGTGAATAGACGCCGGCATTCGTACCATGTTACTACCAGCTGGCGGGGCGGAGTATGGGGTCGGCTGAATCTGACAGGGCTTGAGGAGAAGTCAGAGGAGCAACAGCAGGCCAATGGATCTACGAAGACACCACCAAACCTTCTGCTGCACCGCTACATGCCTGGTGTAGGAAAGGACCGGAAAGGGACTCCTGAGGCGGAGTATCCTGTTGTGGTCGATTCCGCTGAAGACTTGACGGTTGTACCCTCGAGGATCACACGCGAGCTGCGCGCCACCGACGCTAAACTTGAGATTGATGGGCTGGACTGGAACCAGCTCCCTACCATCCATCATATTGTCTCTCGCTTGGCTGAAGTTCCTGTGTACAAGGTTATAGAGGCTAAGGTGGTTGAAGGAGAGGGAGTGCCAGACGTGTCATCTGCCCGGAGGATTGAATTGTAAATTATAAACTAAAAAAATATAGTATACATGTCGATATCTATAGCTATGCGACGATGGCAAACTTAGCAACCCTAGGCAATCATGAATTAATTTCACCCATCCTGGTGTCCGTGGGTATAGTTTGCTGCCGTCAACTACCGCTACGTAACTAGACAAGCTGTGCCCAGATCTGGTAAAGGTATATTGGGTGAGCGGTATAAGCAGGTAATCTTGGGTCCAGGCAGCTTATAATGTGCCATTTGCAATTCTCAAGTGACTAAAGGTTCTACTTCACACACTATATGTAGAGTTTTAGTGACTGGTTACCTTGCATACAGTTAATGATGATGGCGAAGCAATTGGTCCATATACTCAAGCTTCACCTTACCAAGCCCCGAAGAAGACCCATGGCATGCAACAATAGCAATACTATTAGTGTATAGGCCATTAGGCTCGAGACCTTGGTTGTCCATGTCTAGGAAATGAATTTTAACCTTGGATGCATAGTGAAGTCAGACAATAATATCATTCACATAAAACCAGCTTTAATGTAGACCAAAAAGAGACAATATATATTATGAATGTTCAATTGTTTAGATACCAGTTCACTCGCTACATAGCCGATAGACCTATCTACCACTCGCCCCCAACCTCATACCGAAAGATCCTATCGTTCACACGTCCTAATGTGTTATGCCAGAGCCGCGAAACAGCCTATGATTCCACAAATGTTTCATTAGTATTTGTTTATTTGCCCAATCTCAACGATTTTGGTATGTCTACGCACCGCATTAATCCAGACACCGTGCAACATGATCTGAACGAAAGCCACTTCAGCTGGGTGACTTCCCGCCGAGCGCTCGTTCCAATCGAGATTTCGATTAATCGGTCGATAGGCTGGTACTCGAAGATGATCCACGGGCCAATTTGCAGGTTGTTGGACTGAGGGTTGAATGGGTGTTTGGCTCGGCGCGGAGGGGGCTTGCGGCTCGCTGTGGTGCAATTCGTAGTCCGCTAGAACGGATACCGTTCTACTTGTAATCGGATTTTCAGTTGTGGTAGTAGACATGATTGAGAATAGCCCGCTTGCAGCTTGGTATGAAGGTGGCCGTCTATGTTTGTTGAGTATGACCAGTGCGTGTGGGCTGAACAGCTGAATGAAGGGCGAGAGCTAGGAGAGGGATGGAAGGATAATCTGGGGTAACCCCGATTCTAGCCACCGCGGGCACAGTCCGATGGCTCAAAGGGAAGTGCCGAAAGGTGATGGATCATGTGGTATGCTGCTAGCGTCCGAATCATATCATATCGTCGTAGCTCATAAGATCATGGCTGTGATGTGGTCCCGAAACGTTCGGGCCGAGCAACTGGGCCGAAGTGGGTCACCAAAGGTTATCCACAGCAAGCCTGGGGTATAGCTATGCTGATCTGCTTAGGAGAAGCAGACGGTAATATTCGGTGCTTCTTTTATTGATCTCTGAATTATTGCCGCAAAGTCGACAGAGCGCAATTCCACGGTTTCAGCGCAACTGGACAACATCAACATGGACTCTAAATCCAATTCTCAATCGCACCCCCCACAGTTTTCCGCCATTATAGCTGGAAACATCGATGGGCGTACGGATAATGTTCGATACCGCCAGAGACAATTCCACCGTCTCCAGGCGAGCATCCTCACACACTTGGCGGAATTGAAAGAGGCTATCTCACAGGACTCGGGCCACAGCGTAGAAGAGGTGCAGACGGAAGTCTGTCTGGCGTTAAAGGAAATTCGCTCTCACTACTCTTGCTTGAGTCTCGAGAAGAGCGTGCAGCTAGAGTACCGCGTGGCACGTGGAGAAGACCATCTGGACAGGAAGAAAGGTGCCGGCATTGTCTATATCATACCTACCACGCACACGACGTTTTATTCGGTCATTGCCGCACTGAGTGCAGCCCTTGCGGCAGGAAACTGTATAGTTTTGGAGGTATCCAAGGCCTCATTATATACTGTCTTTGCACCTTCAAGTGATCTGTTTGCGCTAATAATGAACACAGCTTCCCAAAACGACTTCGAGGGTTACTGCGCTGCTCCGCTCAGTGCTCCCCGGAGCGCTAGATAGTGATACCTTTGCTATCAGCGAGAGCCGCCCCGACGCAGACTTTCTCAGTACGACACTTGTTATGGATCAGCAGTCGTCTGGATGTCCTACAACCTATCCAACCCTCGAGTCACCAAACACTTTGCGCACGGTGGCCGTGGTAGACCGAACAGCAAATCTTCAGGAAGCAGCGGTGGACGTGGTCCAGGCGCGGTTTGCATTTGATGGTCGCTCTCCGTACGCTCCAGATGCAGTGTTGGTCAACCAGTTCTGCATGCAGCCCTTCGTGGAATTGGTGATCAAGCATGCTGCCAAGCATCTGGGGAGCGACAACCATGGCGCGAGCTCGCTTCCTAAGCGCCCCAGGCAGGCCTCACTGCTGGACAAATTAGAGTCTGAGGGAGTCAAGGTCATCGTTTCTGGCACCGGCTGGGGTGTTGCACTGCTACAGAATCGGTAAGCTGGTCAGCTCCTAGCGATGGCGATATGCGTCATCGTCTCATAGAGGTTTTGTCTAACGGGATATAGTGATTCTCCCTTGTTGCGTGCCAAACTCAGTGAGAGGTTACTACTGTTGCACCCTGTGTCCAGTTTGGACGATGCGATCAATCTCTGTAACGTGTACGTCATTTGGATTACCCGCGATATCTTCAGTATAGCGACTAACAATGACGCTCTCAGTTCCGGTACGCATGCTGCCACGTACACCTTTGCGGCTCCAGCCGCAGCCAAATACGTGTCAGAGTCAATCGACGCGCATACAGCATGGATAAACCACGTTCCGTACGACATACTTGGTATGTAGAGATTGTCTTGCATCGGATTCCTCTACTGGACTGTTCTCTCGCAGGCACTGACTATATATCTTTCGCTCAAGTCGGACCCGTCGTGCCTCTCAGCCACGGTGGGAATTTCCAGACACGGTATACAACAGAGCACTTCCAGGTTCCCCGGCCCCAAGTCGTGAACCAGACCACGACCACGGCAATCGCGAAGGCTCTCTTAGCAGGAAAGTCGGTTCAGTCAGATCGCACCCTCCAGGAAATTCTTTCTCCCCTCCCAGAAATCCAACAGCGACCCGGGCATAAGATTGGTTATTTTGAGCAGGGTATCATTACAGGAGGGCTGATCACTCTCACCTCGCTGATTACGATTGTGTCTGCTGCGGGATACTGGGTTTTAAGAATGAGGTAGATGTCGTATTGTTGTATGATTAGCGATAAACCGTTAATTTCACCAAAGTTATATATTGTTCTGCCCTCAGGATATCAATCTGTGTTTTTCTATATGAACAATATTAGATCGAAAGCATATTAAAGATACAACGCTGGTAATATATATAAATAAAAATATATATCACCAAAAGATACAATATGGCCACTAGTATACGAAAGGCTCGGCCATATGGGACTGTTTACCCGCTCACGGTGATCAAAGGGGCCGTTATGATGCAGAGCCAAGCTTAGACTACGGCATGTTTGCGAATTGTCTCAATCAAAGGAGGTATTGTAAAAGTAACTTAGTTTAAATCATGACAGTGTACACCAGAGAAAATATCATTTATGCGGCCACCTTTGGCCAAGAACCAATAGTAAACTGCGAATTACACATATTCGTGAGTTCCCAAGTTTCGGTAGCCAGAATAGCAGGCGTTCCCTCATCCTCAAAATCACCAGCGGCGCCGGCAACGAACATGGCAGCCATAAAATGATCATCAGTCGCATGTGCATCGCGGTACTCTGGATGCTTCATCAGCCGTGTCATGGCGCGTCTCAATTGTGGCCCGGAGGTCTTCGTGAAGACATCCTCGACGGCTTGTCGGAACTCCAGTGCCCAGTGCTCCGGGGGTGTATCCTGTGCGAAATTGTCGCGGAAGCGAAGCATAGGGGCCCACCGATTGCGGTACAGATTGTGAACCGCCCCGCCGGTTCCGATGATGAGATAGTTCTCTTTGCGCAGCTGGCGCAGAGTCGAGCCCACCTTCAGATGGAAATGGGGGTCATATCGGGCATTCATGGAGATGATGGTGGATGGTGGGCATCCGTTGGGGAACATGCGGATCAAGATCAGATATGTATCGTGGATCCAGTCGAAGGTGTCGTTGCCACTGACATTGTACCCAGCCTCGTCGAGGAGATCGATACAACGTTTGGCGGTCTTCAAATCGGGGTTGAGCTTGTAATCGACGTACTTCGATGGATGAACGTACGCGACGGGGCTCTTGCCAGGGTTAGGGTTTGTTGACACCTGGATTTGATCGCCAAAACAATCCCAATGGGCTCCCTGCCAAAGGTCAGCGAGTGAATAATTGAACCGCCGAATGGCCCAGTTTGTCGACGCCGACTGACCATCATAATAACTCCCTTGATGCCGTTGCGGAGAGCCTCGTCACCACATTGTTCCCAATAGTCGGCCGAGGTAGACTCCTCACCCAACATCATGGTCGAGCCATGGGAAAAGAAGTGCACGGGGGTTAACGCTGTGAAGGGTTAGGACGGGAATTCCTGGAAAAGAGAGGACAACTAACTCATGTCTAGGGACCTTCTACCACGAATATCGCTGTTCCACTGTTGCAGTGTTTCCACAGAGATACCAGGATCACGATCTATATCGCGGGCTGAGGTAGACATCGGATCCCCCATCCGGGATCGAGAGCTACGGTTCATATCATGGTCCTTCGGTACGGTGGTCCACATTCCGATCACCCCGTTTCCATCCGCCGCAACCATCTTCACCACGATGCCGATCTCGGGTGAAGTGGAGTGGCAAACGAAAGCTGGACAGTTCTGTAGAGATACTCATTGCCCCATGCTACGATCTCAGGTGATATTATGTTTAACCTCGGATCGGGACATGTCCTGAGTGATCGTATAGCGCTGCCGGGCTTTTCGACTAGTTACATCTAGCTAGAACCTTTATTCTAGAACGTGCCTAACCTCGCACATTTTCAATCCCAGAGTACGGAGTATATTGATTACTACCGCCGTTCCGTACTTCTGTCAGAACACGAGATTCGCCTCAGCTGGTTAAAGAAGCTGTCGTTCCTCTGGTAGGTGACATCTCACGGGTGGGTCCGGTGGGTCGAGTGGCAGCGTTCCAGGGATCAACCCTCTAGCGCAGGCGTTAGTTCTCAGGTTCTTTGTTTAAATCTCGGTCCAGGCCAAAGGAGTTCGGTGATGACGGCAACTACCACGAAGTGTGAGCGGATTGGTCACTTTGACAGCAATGCGGTACTATGGTTTCACATAGCTGTGACTCTCTGTATCATTCTAGCCTGGAAACTGTTTTAGATATTACGGGCCCGCTCGTGTTGTCTAATCTCTGGAGATCCCAAGGTCGCAATCTAGCTTGTCATAGACGCTAATGCAGGGAAATAAATGGACAGAGGCTGCGCGCCAACGGCAAACCTCTCTCCTGCAGGCCGCGTTATTGGGGGGTCCTGCTTTAGGTTAGAACAGGGCCAGGGCTAAGAATAGACATCGGTAATGACAGACCATGCTCCATACCAGCGGAACTCTCGGGACAGTAAGAAGCCAATCCGGGGAACAAAACTTGTCCTAGTTTGCCAAACCCCTTGACGGTGGAGATACTTAGAAATGAGGCGCACAATCTTAGAGGTTGCTGAGTGAGGTAGAGTTTTCGAATGTTAGACTACTGGTACCCACAGGAGCTCCCTGCAACACGAAACAAAGAACATTTACGACCATGGCTGAATCGAATGTTGCTGTGAGCTTAACTCATCGGCATTGTAGGGAAAGAGAAGCGAGCTCGGCGTGCCAAGGCGATACAGTCTGCGATGCCGTCCTCCTCCGGACGGTTTGATTGACTGTTGCCCTTTACATGATAAGCTTTCAAGCTAGCGTCGAGTCTACGCGCCCTGATTACCAATAATCGTAAGCAGGGAATGCAAATCACAAGGCATATGATGCCGCCAATCAAGTTAAGGGGCTCGTGTTCTCGCCTCGATCGCCAATCGCCCGTTCTATATCGGCTGCATCGCTAGCCGAAAACACTATTCGTCTCTCCTTGGCAAACACAAGTACGGAGTAACATGAGGCCGTTCTAATGCGAGTTATCTGGGGTATTGAGGTTTCGGTTGACTGGAGTTTTGATTTAGGAGACTAATGCACTTGATATATACTGGGCAACCATCGCACTGAGGTTCACCTTGGTAGGGCTTATATCTGAGTTATAATATACATAGGAATATATCTTCAACAAGCAGCTGATTGACGTGGCGTAACCACCGTAGAGATTGTATCTACACTGGACTGTTGCATCTCCGAGTGTGCGGCGCCATTTCCCCCAGAATCACTCGGACAAGTCGATGTGCTGCTGTGCTCTTGCGAGCAGGAGCAGAGGTGTTCCGGGTCACTCTCCGACGGCGCCTTGCAGATTTGAATCAATTGGCTCAGGACGGCATATTCCAACTTCAATTTGATACTGTATGCGGCGGGCTTGAACATCATCTGAATCGCGAGGTACCCGGCAAATTGGATGGCAACGACCGCCACGTCAAGTACCATGACCACAACATTAATCATGACCAGCCGAACAAGAATCCGACGGTGAAGGGTGTCCGGGCGAAGTCGCAGTAGTTTTACTGTTTCAACGATATAGATCCCAGAGATGAGCAGCTCCTGCAAACAGAAGCCCACGAGCTGAACCCGCTCCATCTTATTAAATGCGAACGCAAACCGTGCGGAAGTGCGATGGTTCTCATCAACTATCAGGGCTCCATAAAGGAGAACCGTCGTGGGAATAAAAAGAAGAATACTGTCGACGATGATGACGATGAGGATGGCACGGAGCACCTTTGGTGCCTGTAGAATCAGGTGCAGTCGTGACCAGAGTACAAGAGAATGGCCTGCCACGACGCAGTACCAACTTGGGATGAGGATGGAGGTGGAGACCCAGCGAGAGAGCCCGAAGTAAAAGATGAAGAAGAGCCATCCAAGGACAAGTGGGATCAAGCCAACGGAGGCGATCAACAAACTCCAGAAGTAGCAACCTCTGTAGCGCTTGAACGTCGTCAGGCATATAATTACTAGTTCCACGGCATTGTACCAGGCAATCGTCGCAAATACTGTAATGGTGTAGGTCTGAACTTTGGTGACGCCTCCTGTCGCTGGCTGGATTAAACCGGGGTCCGGGTCGGATGGCATGAAGATATCATGTTTCCCAACTGAAGAGAGCCCGCTTCGTGTTTATGCTTGCGTAAAGATTAGGCCAAGGGACTCAAGTTGGACACTTCTGTGGCTCAAGTACAGTGGGTGGGCGTCTTAATTAATAGGTTTCTGAAGTGGAAATTGAGATGACAGATACTCAGGCTTGCATATAGGTCGCATAGTCGGAATCATTCCATGGATTCTAACCGCAGCTCAAGCAAGTCTTGGGCTCTGTAGGCTATCCACAGGTACCACCAACAGGGGCCCAGCGATTATTTATTGTTGATCCAGTTGAGGGTGGCTGCCAGACAGGTTTAAGCTTTTCCTGGTCCCTATGGAATGCTTAGGGATACATTCTTTGGAGCGGCTTTGTATGAGACTTCCCACCAGGCCGACCTGACGTCAAGATCCTTGCTGTCGGTGTTGAGCAGTATCGTCGGCCTCAGCGACAGGAAAAGGGCGCTGCATTGGTAGGGGACGACCTCCGCGGAGGAAACCTTGATTCCATGGATCCCAACTGGCCATGTGCCACAACGGTCTAGACCAAACCCTATGACATCGCTCATGATCCCCTGAACAAAGGTATAATGAATGACTCGCCTGAGAATAAGATTAGCAGTTTACTTCGGGTCTTTGTACGTTCAGAGGCCGGTTGAATCTTTCCAATCATGTGTGATCGTCGGGGTATATGGTCCATAATACAATGGAACGTTGCTGATCTACATCCCTCATGCTCTCAATCTGGATTCAACGGTCTTGATCAGGGGCCTTTGTACAGCCTCCCTTCGCATAATCCATAGCTCCTTCAGTGGTCTTCGAGTCCGACTCTCTGCGGGAAGAAGGGGCGCATTTGCGATAGCTGCAAAACCGATGGTCTGCCTACCATTAGCATTGGGCCATCCCTGCTCTATTCCTCAATGATCCCTCATAGACCTCAACTTCTATAGAATCCGGGCGCCGATTGTTCGCCCTCTAACCAGCCGTCGAGTTTCAAAATAATCCCCAAGCATCTCGATAAGCCACGTGTCTCCGCGGTTGGTAGCGCACCCTTAATACCCATGTCGACTTAGTCTCTCCCGACAGTAGTCTTCTCATTTTCTAGTCTATCGTACCCTGTCCATGTCACATTCCCCTTTCCTCCAGCCTGCATACCGCTTATCCTGATGGAGCGTGGTCTAGGGCCACAACAGGCATCGCCTCCGCACGTGACGAGCACTGCCGCAATTCAGGCCACTCGGGAAGACCAGGGCAGTGTTGGCACTAATATTTTAGACAAGCAACGCCCGTTTCACTCATGGCCTAGGATGATTTTGCTGGGTCAAATGATCTCTCTGAGAGGAATTGCACCAACGTTCACCAGAAATGTCCCCCTTCCGAGTGTTGATCGCTGGAGGCAGCGTCACCGGGCTGTCGTTGGCGCTGATGTTGGAGAAAAATAATATCGATTTTCTGGTACTCGAAGCATATCCGGACATTGCACCACAGGTTGGAGCTTCCTTAGGCTTACAGCCTAATGGACTCCGAATTCTTGACCAGTTGGGCTGTTGTGATGAGCTTCTGGAACATGCGAAGGGCCACACCGTGCAACACAGTATTTACCGAGGACCAAACGGTGAGAAAATGTGGGAAGCCAGCAACCTAAGCGATGAGGTTATAGAACGGTATACATTACTCCCTGCTTGTGCAAGTTGTCGTCTAATACGCCCATCTATAGACACGGGTATCCAATACCGTTTGTAGACCGACAAAAGGTTCTTCAAACACTATATAACAAAGTTCAAGATAAAAGCAAGATTCTCACAGGAAAGAAAGTAAAGACCATAGACAACTGCGAGTCGACTGGCGTGAAGATTACTACCACAGATGGATCAGTATACGGTGGTGATCTTGTCGTCGGTGCCGATGGTATTCATTCAACTGTTCGCCAGGAGATGGCACGTCTCAACGTAGATACTGGTCGAGATTACTTGGAAGAAAAATGTGAGCTCTTGTCTCATGTCACCTTTGTTTATTTCTTACTTCATTGTCCTCATTTCGAAACCCTGCAACTGAAACTGATCGTTACCAATAGCATTCTCTGCAACCTACTCCTGTGTCTTCGGAATTTCACACCGAACTCCTGGCATCGAACCTTGCACCCTTCAGGACGTGTTTAACGAGAAGTTCTCTTACCTGGTCGCTGACGGGCCTGGCGATCGTACCTATTTCTTCCTGTTTGAACACATGGACAGGGTGCGATTTGGCCAGGAGATTCCTCGACTCACGGAGGCTGACAGAGACGAAATCGTCGGCAGACACCTGGATGATCCAATTACCCCAGAGGTCAGGTTTGGCGACATTTACGCCCGTCGAATTAGATCCGGCGTTACTCCCCTGCAGGAGTACGTATTTAAACATTGGCATTCTGGAAGAATGATCGCGCTCGGGGATGCTAGTCATAAGGTTGGTGGATATCTAGACTAATGTCAGGAAAGAGAACAAACGCTGACGCCGAACACATAGCTTCATCCACTACCCGGGCAGGGAGCAAACTGCTGTCTCGAAACAACAGCATGCTTCACCAATGCCCTTGTGAAGCTGCTACGCGATACACCTCCTGAAACACCTGTTTCGGATAGAGACATTTCCAACATGTTCGAGACAGTTCAGCAGACCCGTCGGCCAAGGGTTAGTTGGCTCGTTGAGGCAGCACACAGGCGTCAAAAGCTGGAGGCTATGGACACACCCGAATTGAAGTCGTATGTTGCGACGAGGATACCAAGTCTCCCGGCCAAGGTTATCCACAAGGAATGGTTAAGGACCTTTCCACCTGCCGTATCGCTAGATATGCTCCCGTTACCTAAGAGACCACATAGCATTCCGTATCATGATGAGCGTGATGTCCAGAATAGCAAAGAGACCCGCGAGGGGTCGAAGTTATAATGTGGAGATTGTCTGGTGTTTGTTCGAACTCATGCGAACGCGGCCTTCCGAACACCCAAGCAAGAAAATGGAAAAGAGGAGAGAGAAAACACATCACGCAACACCAATGGGTCCTACAGTCCATGACTATAGGCGTGGACGTGACGAAACCTCTTCTAAACCGTATTGCCCAGGATAAAAGACACATACACTGGCCCCTATCAGCCACTGCCGGACTTCAGAAGCCTTGCTTTCCTGTCTTCCTTTTCATGCGATCCGAGTATTTCTATATCGTTACATCATCTCATGTTAGAATTCCAAGCATCGCTACATATTACATGGAGACAAATATTGCACTGTCCATGACACACCCTGAGGAACAATTGGCAGCCTCATAACTAACAGCATTATAGAAGATTTGTGTGTCAAGTATTCTCGTGCATTTCTACCCATTACTTACGTATTACATGGCCTTTAAAATACCGGACAATGCGTATAGATTGCAAGTCGACGTGGCTAGCAGATGAAATGATACCACGGGGCAGCTTGCTTGTATGCGCCCACACACGCTCCTTTCGCCCGTGCCTCTTCATATGTTTAACTCTGTGGGGAATAACCGGCCACTGTCAAACACACTCCTGTTGTGAGGAGTCTCCTGGCGACTCCAACAGCTGTAGAACATGTACAACCATTATTTATCCAATGAGTTCAAGCAACGTAGCCTTAGCATATTACAAATCTGCTGGGTTAACAGGCGATGCACCAATAGTCAGGCGCATCCAGCCGAAGAACTCGCTGGCGACGCTTAGCGTAAGGCCGGCATGCTCAAGAAACGTGGTCATGAATGCTTCGGAGATGCAGGGTAGCATGCCACCAGTAGCATGAGCGGTCAGTGATATCTGGGGAAAGACGTTCGACGATCTTTCCCCATCCACCGGTCCCAGTCCCTAGGCTAGTGTAGCCGACTCTTGGCCGCAGCTTCTTTCCCCTCACATAAAGGCCAAGCCCGAATGGCGACAGCGCCAGTCAACGCATGTGGGCAATTTACCCAGCTCTGTAGTCGTTCTCCTCGTACAAATATATTCCGACAAACCTCCGTTCGTCCTTATCTGGGGGAATTGGTGCCGAGCGACGGTCGAGTGGAGTTGGAGTGATTGGCGGAAAAAGTCCATCATTTCATTCTGCATGAAGGGTCCCTTGAATATCACTGCTTTACGACGTGAGAATGTTTCAAGATCTGCCTCGTAGTTGATCCGGCTATAAATCCACTCAATGCCCCTACCTGTTGCAATGATCCACTCTACAGCATCTCGATTTCTACTCGTCCATATTCAACTTTACCCCCTGCAACTATAATCTCGTCCGATAAAATTTACCTAGCATTGTCAACATGAGGCTCGGCGCTGTTGGACTTATTGCCACTTTGTTGAGCCAAGTCCAGGCAAGTCCTGTCGCTCGAGCATCAAAAGCGCCCTACTTCTTTCTCATAGGTGACTCCACCGTCGCTGTAAACGGCGGTTGGGGAGATGGCCTTTTGGCCTACTTAAAGGATCCAGCCAAGGGGGAGAACAGGGCAGTGAGCGGAACCACCACCGTTTCCTGGAAATCCAATGGAAGATGGGACGATCTCATTGAGAGCATTGGGTCCAATGCCGGTGAATATGAGCCGATTGTTACTGTGCAGTTCGGTCACAACGACCAAAAGTCTCTCACCCTGGATGAGTTCACAACGAATCTTGAAAGTATCGCTGCTGACATCAAGGAGGCTGGTGGAACTCCCGTATGACGCCTTCGCTATCTGCCAGTATGAAGTACCGATTTTTGCTAATGAGCTGGACAGATCTTTATCACCTCTCTGACTCGCCGTAACTTTGATGGCGACGAGGTTAAACAAGACCTTAAGGACTGGAGGGACGCGACTATCGCCGCTGCTGAGGTCGTCGGCATCAAGTACCTCGACTTGAACACCGCCAGCACCAACTATGTCAACGCCATTGGCGAAGAGAATGCTATGACATACAACCTTGCTTCTGATGATCGAACACACCTGAATCCCGCAGGCGAAGCTGTCTTCGGTCGTATGACTCTTGACCTCTTGTTAGAGGCACGCGATGATCTCGGCGAATACTTCGAATCCAACGAAGCGTTGAGTGAGAAGATTGCCAACGGTGAATATGCCACTGGAGATGAGTAACTCAAGCATTTGCCGTGGTAGAAGGAATATAGTATACTATTAACGCAATTACGAGGTCTTTTTGCGATTTGTTCGTAGTCACCATACGTATGTAACAGCTTCTACCATCAGCCGCCGGTCGGTATAAAGATACCGCGAGATGACCCTGAAATCAGCCCTTTTGGAATCCGGAATTTTAAGATTAAAATTGTCGCACGCGCCAAGCCGGTAATTCATATTTGGTAATTCTCTCTGCCACTCAGGGCGCGTTGTTTATATGGAATGACGTGCTCATGTCCAACGATTGCTCTGGATTTCCTCCGACTCCTAAAGGAAATCGGCTCATAATTACCCTGTGCCGAGCCTCCCTTGAGAATGATTTTGCCATTAATTTAACACACCTACTGTAGTCTTTCTCTATGATATGCAAACGCGTGATCCTCTACAAATATATAGCCGTCCGGTATTCTTATAGATATTGTATTCCATTAAAGGTATCAACTATGCATTGATTTGTCCCCAGGGGACAATGCTCGTATTGCAAACATTACTAACGAGGAAGACACCGGAGTTGGCATTCATTGTTGTGTCTAGACAGACAGTTCATACCAAGATAGCAACTTTGACATTCTACCAGAAACACTATGCTATAGAGGCAAAAAAAAAGCACTAATGAAAATCTGTCGGAATTCAATTTCTTATCGAAACGGACCTGTAATCATAATCCGCTAGTTAGATATAACGGATCGAGAAGGCAAATATTGGTTGAAACTAACTTTATCATAAGCCGGTAGAGCTCCTCTCTGATCTTGCAAAAAGCAGGTAACGTGGAGACCCATGGTTGTCAAGTCGCGCAGAGGGATACATTGGGGAATCCCTAAACGCACGAGTTGCCACTGCTAAGAAGCTATTCAGGGCTACTTCGCGTGTTCTTCGCCGACATCTTCTGACGAGGACGCTCCTTGGTATAGAAGCGTGTAAGGAACGCTGAGGCTTCTGTTGATGACTTTCGCCTGGGCAACCGCCGCCGAGAAGCTTGTGGGACACCGATGGTATCGGTAGATGAGAGTTGAGATCGGCGGTAGGAAGAAACGGGCATTTGGAAATACAGTATAGCTGTAGTTTATGGATTAATAGTGAACGTTGAGGTGAGATTACGCCGACTGGAACGATCTATTTATATAATGCCACCAGGCAACCCAATACAATCATATTACTTACGTTATAAACTTAGGGGTCAAAAGTCTGACTACACCCGCCATTTCGGCAAAAAATGCAATGAATTCAAACTCGATTTTCTCAACCAATTTAAATGATATCAATCTACAAGTTGATTATATGGATTCCCCATATCAATACTTTGTATACCAGCCACGTGCTAGGCGTACAGCCTGAAGCCTGCGTGGCATAGAGCGAATAAGGCGATCTATGCACTCCTGAGGAATAGCCCACCAAGCAGCTTGAATACGCTCCCTAAATTGCGTCCAGTCAATCTGTGATCTGCCGCCTAGAAAGAGCTCTGGATAGAGCTCTAAAAGCTTCTTTTTAAGCAGGTTCCAGAGGTGCTCAATAGGATTTAAATCAGGCGAGTGTGCAGGC